GATGGACAAATAGAGCGCGTAAACCAAGTCTTGGAGCAATATTTAAGGTGTACTATCAACTACCAACAAGATGATTGGACAACCCTTCTGCCATTGGCAGAGTTTGCTTATAATAATACGGTACATTCTTCCACGCAACAAACACCTTTCCTTGCCAATTATGGCTATCATCCACGACTTGATACTTTTGATTTTTCAAAAGTTAATAATCCTGCAGCAGAAGATATGGCAAATCGGTTGTCAGAGTTACATGTAATAATGAAGGCGCAGTTGAAGAAAGCTCAAGAACGACAAAAGATAAATGCAGATGTATATCGTAAAGAGCAACCACAACTCAACGTGGGTGATAAGGTATGGCTACTTCGTCGCAATATCAAGACCACTCGACCTTGTGACAAATTGGACTATCGTAGGCTTGGCCCCTTTTCTGTTTTTGAACAGATCAACCCAGTTGCATATCGGTTACATCTACCGGAGTCAATGAAGATCCATCCTGTATTCCACGTGTCTCTTCTTGAACCATATAAGACAGTGGATATACAAGGAAGAAGACAAATGCCACCGCCTCCTATAGAAGTAGATAATAATGAAGAATTTGAGGTGGAAGAGATATTAGACTCAAGGCGGCACCGAAATAAGCTGGAATATCTTGTTCATTGGTGCGGATATGATATTAGTGAGCGCACATGGGAGCCATCCAAGAATCTAGCAAATGCATCAGCTAAAGTCAAAGTTTTTCATCAACGACATCCATCAAAACCAAGATGAAAACCTCTCTTATAAAAGAGACAAGATTGAGATGAGACATTGCGATTGTCACAACCTTCAAGACGACGCAACCGAGATGAAGACCCTCAAGAACGACATGTTCTTCCTCGAATAGATGGTGAGATACAACGCGTTTGGTATCACGACCTTGGAAGAGATTCTCGATGTTTGGTGATATTATTGGAGATAGGAACGACTCCTGATGGTGTTTCAAATGTATTATTTGAAGGAAGTTATGAAGGCCTCAACAGTGATCAAATAACAGGGTGGTCTTCTCGCCCTGGAATGGGACACTATCGATGGCTAAGAGGACCCATCAACTATCTTCGAAGAGAACAAAGATCAGAGTATGTAGCAAATATAATTCGCCGCATATTAGATTTTCTCAATATATAATCACCGCTCCTCGTGGAACTCGTCCCTAGAAGGGGGGGTAATGTCACAGACATACATATAATTACCTATATGAATAGATAAAAGTATGTAAAAGTAGATAAAAGTAGGTTAATTGTGTAATATCTTCTAGAGAAGCTTCTTAGAAGCTTCATAGATGCTGCTTTGACTTTATAGGAGTCTATAGTTGACTTTTAGGTTAGAAACTTGGTCAACAAGTTAGCCATGTGCCACACATGTTGGAAGCTTAAAGAACAAGCTAACTACGTGGTCCATCCATAGAAAACTTGCCTTGCAAGCAAAGGCATGTGGCCTAGAAAGTCAACATATATTGGAGGTCTTATAGAACATCGCCACGTGGCTTCTAGTTAGATAGTATATATAGAGGCAAGAGTGAAGCCCTCTTCACTCTTGTCAACTCCTTTCTTGCTTCTAGTCCAGGTTCAAGAGTCTTTAGTTTCTTGTCTTGCGGCAATAGCCATTCCAGTTTCCTTTTAATATACCTACTTGTTTATATTTTGACTTATTATATCGAGATAGCCTTTTGGTGTATATTTTTCCTCATCGAGTCTTTGTCCTTGACAGATATAAGAAAGACATTGACAAGACTAAAAATTTCCTTACTATTTTTCTTTTTATATTGGCTATAAAAAGTTAAAGAAAAACTTATGGCTTTAGTATCAAGTTGTTTGTTATTATTAATGTAGCTTTTAAAAAGTAAAATCTTATTTAAAAAATTTTAATATCATGTAGCATATCTACTAGAATCTAAGGATCAAATTTATATTTCATTAAATTTTTCAAGGAAGATGTTATTTAATTAATATATTTTTATTTACCTCTATTTATTTCTATTTATTTAAGTCATGTATTTTACTATTATAATTATTATTAAAAATAAAGTATATAATATTATTATATATTTTTCTACTAAAAAATTACTAGTTTTTGTTAACAATAGTTTTCCACCATGATTTCAAACTTCTAAATTTTTAGAGGACAAAAATTTAATAAGAAATAATTTTACAAATAATACATTAAAGCTTCATATAACAATAAAGATGTAATTAAAAGAAGTTAAAAACAATATAGTGTGTGAATATAATAAATAGATTGTTAATTGATTTAATATTAATTATTATTATTATTTCTTATTTTTTAATATAGTTTTTATTTATAGAATTTATTTAATCTAATTATATTAAAAAGGATATCATAAAAAATTAAAAATAATTTAAAAATAATTTAGGAATAAAATAAATTTAATTTATATCAATATACTTTTAATTTTTATAAGTATTACAAATTCTTTTAGATTAAGGCATATGAGTAATTAATCCTTATAAGATAATGTGTTTTAAACACAATGGTGAAGTTAGCTTAGCTATAATAGCATATTGAAGGCTCATTTGATGGCCATTAACCTTAATCTTAGAATTTGATCTTTGGATCAGTGAAGATCATGGATTTTAGTATAAGTTCTTTAGAATTCAAGGGTAGAAATGTGGCTACCTCTCTTAGGTCTTAAGAAAAAAATATACGAGACATCATATACTCAATTTTTCAAGAATTCTTTTTCTTTGTTGATAGGCAAAGCCATGTCAATTTTTCATTAGACTTTAACAAACTTTGGTCTTTTTTAGTTTTCTCTCTCACTTTTTATAATTAGCTTTTCAAATTTTAAATAAATTTATGAATTTTTTTTGCATTATTATAGACATAAAAATCATAAAATCTGAAGTTTAGACAAGGAAGAAACCTCTAATTTAGCAAAGGGTGGTTTATTACCTTCATAGTTTGGTAGCTTATTTTTAGAAGGCTCTCCTTCATTGCTTACAAATTAAAGAACAAATAGAGTTATTTTGTTGGAAATTTAATAAAGTCCAGTTTTTACAAAACTAAAAATTTATTATATTAGAGCCATGTTGTGGTAGCAATGCTAATTCTTGTGAAAGAAGATCAATTTTGTCAAAATTTTAATAAACTTAGGTTTACTAAAGAAAAATCAAGAATAAATTTTTGGCACTTAATTTTATAAAAAGAGATTTATTATCTTACTAAATTATAGCAAAGACATACAACCAAATTTGAAGGTAAAATGTAGAATATAGATGCATCTTGGAATCTTCTTTTGAAGAAAACTAGTCGGATTCAATCTAGATCTTAGAATCACTTGTATCACAACAATTTGTAAAGGTGGGTGCAATAATAGGTTTAGAAGTAACAAACCTCCATCAATCCAAACTTAAATGATATTGTTAGTCTATTAGTTAATTACCATAGATCCATCTTAGATAGTAGGTTAGGAAGGATGTAGATGTCAATTTGGAGAAATAATTAAAGAAATGGACGAAATTTTAGATGGATATAATATTTAGATGATATTATTAATTTAAATTTAATATATTTTGTAGATAAAAATTTGAAATGACATCCATTATATAGATTGGATGAATGTAGATTAGATAGAATTATAAACTTTGATAAATCAATAAATTAATAATTTATATTAAACTACAATATATAATAATTAATTAAAACTAATTATTTAATATTAACTTATAAGTGACAGTTTTAAAAAATCCAATTAGATGAACTTGATTTTTTTACATGGTGCTAATAAAAAAATTAAAAAATAACTTCTATTTAAAGGTAATAAAAATATATAATTATTTAGAAAAAATAACCAAAAAATAGTAATATTTTTAAAATATTTTTTAAAATATATTTCTTATAGAAAATATCTTAGATTTAAAGTAATGCTAAAATAAATTAGAATAACATGCATGTTAGTATAGATATAATATTAGTAAGTAGACATATAAATCATAAAAAAAAATACTATAATTGCATCAAAAATGGTTTTTTGTTTTATTAAGAATGTCCATTTATAATCAACTATTAACAATAATAAAAAGAAAAAATAAAGTAGAAAAGAACCAATTTAATAAAAAAATCTTTTTTACATACAATTAAAACTTATCTTAGATCTTTCTTCAGCAATCTAAAACAAATCTAATAGATTCAAATTTAAAAAATATCATTTGAAGATTTTCTAAATAAATTACTTGACTTATCACAACCTTTACAAAAAGAAAAATATAAATAAAGATCTTCAAGAAAGACATTTTAATTTTTAAATAGAAAAAATAAAAATATATTAATATAAAAATTTTAAAATATTTTTAGTATTTTATATAATATATTTAAAAGAAATTATTCTAAATATGCCATTAGAAGAAAGTTATAAAAGCTTTAATTATGATAAAAAAAACTAATCAATCTTTTTAATTAGCCAATGTTAGAGAAAGAATTTTTAAAAATGAAATTTTTATGTATACCCCTTAAATATCCTGAAATATCAAGAATATCCCTACATTGTTGATAATAGCAATTGTATCCCTTGTGGTGATATCTTATCATATACAAAGGATACATTTGCTATTATCAAGAATATAGGGGTATTCTTGACATTTTAGGATATTTGAGGGAGATATATTTATATATATATATATATATATATATATTTGAAAATTTCCCTACAATAAAACACATAATAAAGATCTCAGTTCATTTGTCTTGGTGTTGGCCCCAATCATGTGTGTTCCCAAAGGTGAAAACCATGACGACAAAAGCAAACCGCAAGAGAACAAGGGAAGGACGAGGAATGAACGAGAAGTGGACGAGAATGGGACGAGAAGACGCCCACTAATTGAAAAGGTTCACAAACCGCGCGTCCAACTCAGCGTGGCCGGATTGGCCCAAAGCAGCGGCGGATCGTCATTGCCCGCTCACAGGCAGGCCCGGCCTGGCTCCGGTACACAGCGGATCCTCGGAGGGCCGTAGGGTAGCCTTGTCCTCCTCCCCGCTTGCTTCCTCGCTCCCCTCGCGCTTGCTTCCCTTCCCCGACTGAGATTCTGATGCCCGAATTTCTTCGTTTCCGGTTGCTTTTACGATCGCCATCCACCCTTCGCAGCCATCCGGTCATTTGATTGTGACATCTGCGGCGTCTTTCGGCGACTTATCGGACTTACGAAGACGCAGGCGTGTCTGGGTGGTGTGTTGGAACGTCTTATTAGTTTTTAGGTTTTTCTTGGAAAGTGGAGTTCGTGGATTTGAGGATTTGTGAGGATTCGGTTTGAGTTCATCGATGTATGAGAGTTGGATAGAGTGTTGAGTTTTTTTTATTTCTTTTTCCTGATATCTTTTTCCGGTTTACTTTGGAATTTGTATCGGGGATTCTGTGAGAGGGTTGCATGAGCCGTCGTTTCACGGGTAAGTGTTGTCGGGGGGTAAAATTGGGCGGTGTAAAATTTATTGCAGGATTGTGTTCGTGGAAATTTTAGGTTAATATCACTTGATTCTGTTAGAAAAGTTTCACAATTGGAGTGGGCGAAATGGCGGAGGAGAGATATAATATGAAGAATCCGGCAGTGAAACGCATCCTGCAGGAAGTTAAGGAAATGCAGAACAATCCTAGCGCGGATTATATGAGTCTTCCGCTTGAGGTGGGCTTGAATTGCTTTATAGAGAGCTGAGTTCGCTTACACTCAAAGCCTCTTGCTTCTCTTTGTCATAGGTAGTTTGCAGTGAGATTGCATGGATAATGTCGTTCGTGGCCACTGGAAAGTGTTAATGAGGGCTGGCAGCGGTACTAAAGAGTAAGTATGTGCATTACGGATTCTAATGACGACGGGAGAAATAACTCGCGCATGTATTGATCATCTAAAAGAGGCTGTTCTGTGATTTCTTACGAGCAGGACAATATATTTGAATGGCATTTTGCAATAAGAGGTCCTTCAGATTCCGAATTTGAGGGCGGCATATATCATGGACGTATTCAGTTGCCTCCAGAATATCCGTTCAAGCCTCCTGCCTTCATGCTGCTCACAGTACGCACGTCATCAATCTGTTTTTTTGAAATTGTCGACGTATTTTGCGCTTTCAAACGCCTGTGACTGTTACAAATTAGAGCTTAATTTTTTGAGATATTTACTCATCGGAATTACTGTTGCTACGACTTGACATTCCTTCTTACGGACAGAGAATCTATTTGTGCTAAATTTTGCGGTCTGATTATCCTGGGGTTTGACTTGTCTTCGCATGTATTCTTTTGACACTAACAAGTATTGGATGTGTATTTTTGTAGCCAAACGGTAGATTCGAAACTCAAACAAAGATATGTTTGAGCATTTCTCAACACCATCCGGAACATTGGCAACCATCTTGGAGTGGTATGCTTCTTATACTTTGTCTTTGTGATTTAGGTCTGTCACCAGTGAGGTGTAATCTCTTTGCTTCTCTCCATTTCAGAACCACAAGTACTTGAAGCACATCATAGCAAGCACAGCTGTCACATGCCGCTCGTTTATAGAATAGTTAATTTGACTACATGCATCTTCATTTGGGTTGCAGTGCATTGTTCCGTTTTCTTCTTGCGTTTGAATTTAAGCACACTAAAGTCTGTCCTTCTGAAAACAACCGGGTTTTTCCTTTTTCGTTATATTTATACTGCTCCTTGAATTCTAGCATTATCATGCTAGCTGTGGACGTGTGCTTTTGAAGTAGTATATTCCTCAACCATCGCTTATTTCTTACTCTTAGGTGTTCTAGACTCTCAGAGTTTTTTTGAAAAAGATATCGAATTAGTTTGTAATTCGGAATATATTCTTTTTCATTCCATCTGAAATGAGGTTTTGTAAATGAGCAGTACGGACGGCCTTGGTTGCACTGATAGCATTCATGCCTACTAAGCCGGATGGTGCCCTGGGCTCCTTGGATTATACGAAGGAGGAGCGTCGTAAGTTGGCCATCAATTCTAGACTATCGGCACCAAAGTTCGGTAATGCAGAACGTCAAGCTTTGATTAATGAGGTACATTGGGATCACTCCTTCTGATTGTACTAGAATTCTATTAAATATGCAAATTCCAAAGTATTTATGACATTGCAAAAGTTATTTATTGTTATATTGTGCTGCGCGTAATGTAGTCATTGTTATATACCTAGTACATCATTTTTTTCATTTCAAAGTTTTACTGATCGGTACCGACTCGGCCATCACAGATACACCAGTACATGACGAAACAAAGTCCACCAGTTCCTGAGGTGCCACTTGCCAGTAAGGAAACTGAGACGGCGGGGGCAATTGAAGATGCTGACGAGGATGATGGAGAGAGTGTGGAGGCTCTTATTGCTGAAGGATCTCGAATTTCTGAGGAGCTTGTAACAGATGCAGTGGTTGAGAACGTGCACGAGGTCCATGTCAATGCTAATGCTGGTCCGCTGGCAGTAAGTTTCAGCGCAGATTATCAATTGGCTCCACCAGCAATCCCTATTGGTGATGCAGCCACATTAGCCCAGCAAAATTTGTTGTGTGATGTCCATCCTTCACAAGCAAGTTCTGGACCTGCCGTGGCAACTCAGGTTAGGCCTCCAGTGCAACAACCACCCAGTGATTTCACTTTGACAATGTTAGCTATTGCCTTGGCGATTGCAATTCTTGCACTAATTGTGCACAAATTGATGAAATCTCGAGGGATACCAAATTCTGTAGATTCTATGCCACCAAAGAAAGTTTTGTACTTATAGCCAGGTGGCCTTGCGCAGTCTTTTGGCACACTTAATTGTGTGGGCTTAAATGCATCTTCTTCAATAGTTGTTCTTATACTTGTCCAGAGTAGCTTCGTAAATGATTCTCATAGCCGAGGCTCTGTGGAGTCATGGGATCAGCAAACGTTTCCCCGCCACACCCTCCCCCCCCCCCCACCTTTTTTCTTTTCTTTTAACCCCCTTTTTATCAGTGGTTTTACACCTCGAAGATGATTACTGTATATTGTAGGCAGATTGATTGGTGGTTTTTCACCCAACTACTTTGTTTAGTATTGTTATCATTATTCTAGGTAAACGAAGTGTACCATTTTGATATCAAAATATGTCGCCTTGAATGTCATAAACTTACATGCATGCACAAATGTGAACCCTAAATGTCTAGGTTGGTGCGTTTTCTTCCTTTGTTATTTGTTGTTGATTCTTCTTTTATGTTTTTCTATCACCTTGACAATGACTTTCGGAATTACAATATGGTATGGTAGTGGGTGTGTGGTATGGTAAGATCAAAACTCAAGCATAATACAATATCTAGACAATGAACAAGATTGTGTCAGATTGGTGTAGAAAACTTTAGAAAGTTGAAATAGGAATTGATCAGTAGGTAAGATTGCTTGTCACAGTGTGAATGGGCAATTGCGTATATGTTTACAGGTTTATAAACCTTGTATGGGAATATAAAAGCAATGTTTGCACATAGAAGTATAGTAGTTTAAAGAATCTGATAACTGAATTTGATGTACTGGGAAAATTCTTGAATGGTTCCATAGTTCAAAGTTGCAATTGGTTTAAGAATCAATTAGAATAAATATGACTTTCGTTGTGAGAATTTCTTGATGACAATTCAAAGTCTAACTTTATTCATTTAAAAAAGACAGTGAATTATTTTCTAAAGATACTATTTATTACGTAAGAAATAGTCTTTTTCTATTCAAAACAGTCACTTCAAAGTGTATTTTTTTATTTTTTTATTTTTAATATGTTGCATGTAAAACAAGTCAATATTTTGACTACTAATACAGGTAAAAAACATTAAATGTAGAATCTAAAGCATTTTATAAATTATTTTATCAGTATTATACTTGTTTTATTATAATAAATTTAAATTCCTGCATGACGCAAACTTGGTAAGTTAATAACATGGAAAACTGGGGCATGTGTCTGAACATGTACGTGAATATATATATATATATATACAACATATTTATAAAGACAACAAAGATCCGTTCAAATTCAATGAAACACACAAATGCAATGACATCTAAAACCCAGCTACTACGTGCAAATTACTGTAATACATGGATTATTTTTCACACATGAAACATATGTTAACCAAGACACACGCCCATATTTATATATTAAAACAAACTCACTTGCTTTGCAAAATAGTAACTTACCAAGTTAGACGGAATCGTAAGATATTTTCCACGAGTTGCCCACTGCGACACGAAGTGTAGAAAAAGCCTCCAAAAACCCGCCATGACGTCATATAAGGGCCCACATATGGATGGATGAACATCTAAAACATGAATGAATGAGGATTCGACGACTGCCAAGGACGAAGCACAGAGGCGGGCCGGAACGTGTTTGAGGGCTACGGGAAGACGAGCTCAAGGCGGTATTGCGAAGCGATCGAGGAGGAGGAGGGTTGGGACATTTGCGAAGGCGAGGGCATGGACTGATTTCTAACACACCTCGACGTGCTAGTCTGTGTCTTTCAAGGTTCTGCACTCGCAATCCCTGCTGCTGCTTCTGATTGTGCTACGTGACATAGTATCTGCAGCTTGAGAAGCGCTTTTTCGAGTTTGTATGCTATTGAGTGGGGTTGATGGCGAGGCGTTGAAGTTACTCTGTTGTCCGTTGTTGCTCGTTAGCTACGATTTCTCTTATTTTTAGATCGAATTTTTTATGCGGCATTTCTGTGTCTGGTTCTTGTGTTATGCCTCTCGCATTATAGCCCCGAGGTATTGTGCGTTGCGCGATTGTGTTTGGTTTTGATCTTCGCCGTTGGGAGCTTCAGCTGGCTTTAGATGTGCACTATTGCGCTCTTTGCCCCGGATTTTTTGAGAGATGTGATTGCCTTCGGGTTCTGACACTTTCCGGCGAACTCATTCACCTGTCGGCTGGTCTTATATTTGAGCACGATGTTGTCCTTTTTTCTCTTCGTCGTTTGAGAACTAGGTAGGCTAGTTATATTCACGATGCCATTCCTTTTTTTTTATAAATGATATGCTTGTGTCACTATATGTGCCGCAGTCCAGAGCAGTATTGCTGAGGACTTTGTAGAGAATGACCACAGTTGGTTGGATCGTGTGTCCTCTCGTTTACCCTTTATTCTTGGTCTGTGGGAATGGTAGGCGTCGTCATGCAGTAGAGATTTCAGTACTTGATTCGGTCTGTGAAGCAAACCTCGACTAAGAATCTCAAAGTCTGGAAGTAGTGAAAAAATGTGAGCAAAATCATTTTGGGTGTTTTTTGGTGAGGGTAGCATCAACGTAGGTCGAGTACATGATGCATGTTTCAGCGTTGTGTGAGGCTTTGAGTCAACATATGCGTTTCTTGATAAGCGAGTGGTTTGATAGGCTGTATCGGACCTTTTGAAAGTTATTAGTCCACAATTTTGGACTGCCAGTAGTGAGCTGTAATGCTCTGTCAGAGCATGAAGGTCATGGCTTTCGTATTTTGAAGCAAGTTGAAAGGTCCGGACAGAGGATATGTAAGAGGCTGTGTATGTATTATTAGCACTCAGCAATCCTGTTGACGATTTTGAATTCCTGATGTTGATCGAGAGTATTAGCTCTTCGCACTTGATTTGCATGTTTGAACATTGACTTGCTACGAAGCTTTGTGCCTGGTTTCTCGCTCATTTCGATAGCAAGTAAAAAATCGGTCTATGCAAATAATAACTACAGCTTTCTTTGTCGCTGCAATGAGTTTTTGGCTCATAATACAGAGCAGTAATATGTGGTTGTTGATGATCCCAAATGCAGATTTCTGTGGATTCCGCATTGGCGTTTATCGCAACCGACTTGAAGGTGCTGGTATATCAGCAAGCATAAGATTCGCAATGGTGCGACTTGCAGCGGTGGGGTTTCTTGCATTGCTGTGCATCACGTTGAGTGTGTCCGCTTATTCAGAGGACTTCGACGAGAAGGATGTAGTTGTCCTCGGTGCAAGCAACTTCACAGAGGTGGTGAACAGTCATAAATTTGTTTTGGTTGAGTTTTATGCTCCCTGGTGTGGCCACTGCCAGACATTGGCGCCTGAGTATGCCAAGGCCGCCACTATACTGAAAGATGATGGTGCGGTTCTCGCAAAGGTGGACGCCACAGTGCACTCAGATCTGAGTCAGCAGTTTCAAGTCCGGGGCTTCCCTACTTTGTTGTTCTTCGTGAACGGAAAGCAGAAGCTCTACAATGGCGGCCGCAAGGTTCACGACATCGTGGACTGGGTGAAGAAGAAATGTGGACCTTCTGTCCAAACTCTCAAGTCTACTGCTGATGCCGAGAAGGCGTTGGAGGTTGAGACCCCAATTGCCGTTTCTTATGTGGAGAGCCTCGAGGATAAGAATGCCAAAGCGTTCGCTGCAGCAGCCGACAAGGAGGAAGGAGTCGCATTCTACCTGACCGAAGACAAGGAGGTGGCCGCGAAGTTCAGCCTTGAGAAGACACCCTCGCTTGTGTTGTTAAAGAAGCAGGCTGAGAAGGTTGCCCTGTTTGAGGGTGACTTCGAGGAAATGGCCTTGGCTAGCTTCGTTTCGAAGAACAAGCTTCCTTTGGTGATCACATTTAGCCGTGAGACAGCACGTTCAATCTTTGAATCCGACACCAACAAGCAGTTTCTTCTGTTTGCAGGCCCTGAGGAGTACGCCAAGATCCGTGTGACGTATGAAGAAGCTGCGAAATCTTTCAAGGGACAGATTATCTTCGTTCTCGTTGATGTTGCCAACCGAGAGGTCGCTGCTCCCGTTCTAGAATTTTTCTCTCTCAGTGGCGAGAAGACAAAGCTCATGGGGTTTGTTCCTGAGTCGAGTGGTTTGAAGTTCGGATACGATGGCGATTTCAGTCTTGAGTCAGTCAAGGAGTTTGGAGAGAAGTTTGTGGAGAACAAACTTGACCCATACTTCAAGTCTGAGGACATTCCTGAGACGAATGACGAACCTGTGAAGGTGGTTGTCGGCAAATCGTTCGAGGACATTGTTTTGGACGAGTCCAAGGATGTTCTTCTCGAGGTCTATGCTCCGTGGTGCGGCCATTGCAAGAGTTTGGAACCCGAGTATAAAAAATTAGCAGAGCTGTTGAAGGACGTGAAGTCTATCGTGATTGCCAAGATGGACGGCACTAAGAATGAGCACGGTCGCGTCACCATTACGGGCTTCCCAACTGTTATCTTCTTCCCCGCGGGAAAGAAGACGGAGGAACCATTATCGGCAGGAGTGTACAGGACGGCAGCTGGATTGGGCAAGTTCCTGAAAGAGAATGCCGCAATCCCCTTCGAGGCTGATCTTCCGGAGTACGTGGAGCCTAAGAACGAAGGCCAGGCTGAAGCTGACGAGCCAGAGCATGTAGAGGAACATACTGACATGGAGGACAGTAAAGATGAGCTTTGAGCGATCTGATTAGCGATCTTAGATTGAGGTTTACATGTTTCATTCTTGTGTAGCGTCAAATCCATGCGAATCACGTGATAGTTTGTAACTCCGGCCTCAAACAAATATGAAAATTTTGAGATTCTTTATTTAAAAATCAATGATAATCTTTTGCTGCCATCTTAGCTTTTAAAGTAAGGAAATGAAAACGTTGGTGCTACAATAAATAAATTGAAAACTTTCCAAAGCTGGGATTTGCGGGAGTGGTAGTGGACAATCCGTTGTGGTTAGGATTTTCGGCCCATCGTTGATACACGTTTTGACTAACTGGCTCATAACTTAATCTTGGTTCATCATATGTGTGGCATTCGGCAGTCACCACAGAGCATTTTGCTTCATCTCAAGGAATTCGGACCTAGAATAGTTTGTTTAGGCTTTTAGTGTCAGCTTAGAGGTAATTCATTTCAAGTTGTTTTTTAATTGCCTTATGTTCAATCAAACCAAAGATGGGGACATACTTGTTTTGCACCACATGCAGCGAAGTCCTAAGCTCGTTATAAGACACAGTCTCCTCCCCACTCGTTTGTGTGTGCTTTGTTTGAACTATGATGCATTGCACTAGTAACAGTCCATTGGCCTATGTTTAGGGGTGCATGCCCACCTCCAGCCATAGTCCACATAAGACATTGGAGTTGCCATATTGAGAAGTATCATGTCAAAATTACATGTTATGTGGGAAAGAAGCTTCTAAAGTCCATTTTTAAAATTAATTTTGAACATTACAAAAAAGATTTGCTTTATTCATAGTTGGCTAATTGTTAGAAAAGATCCATCTCATGAAAAGTATCATGCATTTCATTTATTTAAATTATATAGTGGTATTTGCACCTTTTATAAGTGACTTTTGGACATTAATTTGTTTCCAACTTTAAGATTTAGCATTAACCTAGAATTTCTACAAAAATTAATCTAAAGAACTAATTAAACTAATTCAATAAACAAATTGCAAATAGATTTAGTGATTTCTTTAAAAATAATGGATATAATTTTAAATCTTTATGTCCTAGATTTTACATTGATATAAATTCTAATCAAGATTAGAAATACTATACTAGAGTAGTAAATCTTATCACATTCTAATTCAAAACTTATTGACTTCACAACTATTTGCAAATAGATCTCTTAAGGACCTTACAACATAATTGACCAAGTCTTATATAAAACCACATTCAAGCTACTAAGATGTAAAGATTGATGGACCTAAGTCTGTTAACAAAAATTAAAAAATTAAAATAAAATAGATGTATCTTCTATCTTTTTAAATAAAAACATTGCTTCAAAAGTAGAGCACCTTCTAACAAAGCAATGTGTTTCAATCACATCTTGTCAAGCAATACAAAGCTCATTCACTTGGATAATACCATCAACAAGGACAAAGACAACATCTAATTATATAGTAGCAAAAATATTTTAAATTTATACAACATCCTTTCCAACTATAAAATTCTAATGATACCAATCAACAATCGTTTTACTACAAAATAATATAAATTTTAAAATATATTATTAGATACATCTTAACACTTTAAAATAATATGACCATTCATATCAAATATACTATAGATCTAAGACTCTTTAGTCTAGTATTACATCAAATTAAACAATATCAATTAAATACAATTAGATATGTAGGTATTTTAAACATAATGCTTGTTTAAAAGAAGAAATAAAGAGATGTTCTTCCACCTTCTTCATATCTACTAACTTGTTGAATTCAATTAACCAATCTTACAACTAAATAACATCCTTTATTCTTATACTAGTCAATCCATTTGTTTTAGGTCTACAATTGAAATAAGTCTACTCAAAGGATTTGGATTATTTAACATAAATCTATAACAATTATAAATAGATCAAGATTCTCTAAATTTCTTATAGAATTACTCCTTTCTATATAATCATTGTTCAATAGATATAGAGGCTATAGCCTAATGTAGCATTAGCCTCCCATAGTTCAATTTATGTCAAAATGTATATCCTTACAACTCATAAAAGCTTGTTGATATAGTATAAATATTATACTTAAAAAAAAGTCATGATATAGATATTTAGTATAAGATAATAAGTATTCATAGCGTATATATATATATATATATATATATATATATTATTTTTAAGTAATAAAATTTGATTAAAAATAAGCTCGTTGTTAACAATTTAATAAAATAAAAAACAAGTTGAGTAGACTAGTTAACAAAGAAACAATATGAAAGAAGATTAAAAATAAATAATTTAAATATTTTTATAAAAAATCTTATAAAAAGTATTAGCTTAAAGATACTTAAGTATAAACTCAAAGTTTTTAAGATTACAATTCAAAGATATTAAAGTATTAGCTAAAATATTAGAAGAGATAAAAGTGATATGTACAAATTAAAATGTGGCTTTTTATTGTATTCCAAGAAAGAATTCTTTGGAGTAATCTCTTATGATTGCTTTTCTTTTCTTTTCTTTTCTTTTGTGTGTTTTTTAGAGTGTATTATTTTTGACATAAAAATAAAAGGTTTTCTTGCATGAAAGGATTTGTATGATAAAAAAATTGGCATACATATCTCAATTGAAAAATTGTAGATCATAACAAAAATAAGAATAGATGATCTAATCGAAGGAGTTAGATGTGGAGTCACAAACTTATGATTAAATTATAGAATATAATATTATAAGAATGAAGATTTCAAGGTTTTGGAAAATATGGCTACTTTTTTTGTGGATCTTGTCAAGATTTTTTTTTTTTATGTATAAATAGATAATATCCATAACAACTAAGGCGTGGTTTGCACTGTGGTGGATTTAAATTTGGATGTCAATTTAAATGGTTAGAACTTTGTTCAATGTTGGAATCTATGCTGAACTTGAGTCCAAAATCATAAAACCTACATAAATGTCAATAGAAATTTTTTTATGAGTTATGATAATGAACATTTTTAAATCCAATATTAATAAATTTATTTTTTTCATTTTATTTGGTCTTTAATAGTCTTATAATCCATCTTCTTAAATGCATATATAGATAAATCAAAGCTTTATGATAAAAGTTGGCATATGTTTTTATATACTACATCTACCATCTATGAAAAAGCAATGATTTTTTAATAATAGTTGGATTATATGTACAATATGTTGAAGTTGTAATTTTTTTTAGACTAAGTCATTTTGAAGTATACAACAATATTTACATTGTTATCATCAATGTAGTAGAAAAAGCCAAAGAGGTAATGGTCTAAATGATAAACAAGAGCAATAGTCCTTTGATGTTAAAAGATTAGTTAAATTTTAAGAGTTTTAATTAAGTCTAAGCTTATATATAGTATTTGTATACAAAGATGTTTTTCTATTTTTTTAAAAATAAGATGTATTAGATTACATTTTATTTTTTTTTAGTTTATTATGTAATTTGAGTTCACAACATATAGAAAACTTTCTTTTATTTAAGAAATTTTCACAAAAAGGAGATAAGTTTGCTTAGAAGGTGTTTCCATAGTTGCCATAGAATAATGAATTGTATTATTAAATAAAAGTAGAGAAATTTAAAGAAAAATAATAGTAATCATAAAAAAATAATAATAATCTAAAGATCTTAAAAATAATTAATTATAGATATTTATAAAATAGATAAAAATATAATAATTATATTTAAAATAAATTAGTTGATAAGATAAATTTATATAGTTTTTGAACTTGATGTAATCTTTCTCTTTCTTATAAGCAAGATCTTATTATCATAAAAAGATTTTAAATATAGATTTTAAAAATATAATTCTAAAAATAAAAAAATATAATTTTTTTATTATTAACTCAATATTACTATAAAAAATCTCTTTAATAAGAATATTGGTGCTTCCACAATGAGATCTTTGAATCAAGTTACTAATTAATAATTTGTAACTTTAAGTATTTTAAAAAATATATTAAAAAACTAATGTAATATTAAAAATCAATTGCCAATTTTTTTGAGATGATATCTTATTTTTTTAGTAATGGATATTACTATATTAAACTATGGTATTTATATTAAACCTTTAAATTTTATTTTATTCTATATTATTAAAAATAAAAAAATTGTAGCATATACATTATTTAAGGCAAGGTGTGGGAGACCAATTGTAAGGTTTTCTATTAGTTGATAGGCTTGGTAGAGAAAATAAGTTAATTTTTTAATTAAAGAAATCATATTTTAGCATTAAAATGGTCAAGGTAGTAATAAGGGATCTTGAATACCCTTAAGTGTGCCTTAGGTGTATATAGCTAAAGAACTCAGCAAAGATCACTATTGGTTGAATCAAACAATGGTAGCCATAATCAGCAGTGATTTGTGGTCCGGATGCCTCAAAGTTGGGTTAATAATTGATGCAAGAGTAAAATGGGTCAACCCAATAGTTTAAGGTATCAAATTGAAGAGCCGATGTGTAATGTCACGGTCAAGTAATCACAATAAGATACTTGTTACAATCCAATTTTAAATTTAAATGGGTGTGGTAACACATCCATATTGAAGTGAGAAGTAATCTGCACTACACCTCTCAGGAGCATGACAAGCTTGAAGTGGAGAATTTGGAGGTTTGTTCTTGTAAGAAAATATTTTTAGAAACAAATAATAAAAGAAAAAAAATCATGCTCATGAAATTTTAAAATGCATATTAATTAAATAATGTATTTATGTAGTGTGTATTAAAATTTGAAAAGACAAAACTTGTTTGAATTATACAAGTGTATAGAAGTACCAATTGTGGTTATATCACAATTATATCTTTGAAATGTGCCTCAAATAATCTTTAAGCTATAAAGTTATGTGCTCTAAGAATTAGCTTACATAAAAAGAATAACAATAAGAATAATAAGAGTAAATAATTTTTTTTATATGTACATATATAGATATAATTTGTAAAATAATATTGAATTAAATAAGAAAAAAAATGGATGGTTAAGTTTAATGCTTTGGGATTGTCAAAATATTTATTAAAAATACATCTTAGATAATAGATCTTTAAACAACTATCTTTAAAAATCTCTAAAGCTTTTTAAAGAATCTTGAAAAAATATTATACTAAAAAAGTTTTGTGGGAGGAATTTGATTGTTTATATTTAGTTATTATAAAAATTAAAATTAAAGAAGTATTTATTTTTTTTCTTATTGCATCAACTAGAGTTTTCACACAATTGATTTGTACATGTTTTAAAACATTATACACAAATAATGTTTTTTACATAATTGTAATTTTTCTTTGTTGAAAATTCTATGCAAACTAAAAATAAAAAATTATTCCAAAATTTAACAGTGGAAATTCATTTTTAAATTCCATAACATGTCCATATACATGGCTACACTTACATACAAGGTCTAAATTTATAACCAGCTTGTGTTGTTCAGTGCAATTTTTAACAATGCTCATCTGATCACGCTCTCCAACGTGGACTCCCCGGGTCAGATTTCGCGGGAACCCAGCATCTTGCGATATGTTGACGTAGCCCTAATTGCCAGAGGCGTCTGGGTGCCACCGTTCCTGGCGCACTCCACCGATCATTCTCTTGTCCTCTGCGAGGTTTTTTTAGTTTGAGCCAGAGATTGCATTGCAGTTACATATTCGCACGCCTCATCGCGGGCACGCTGCAAGCGGAAACATGAATTAAGAGTAGATCGAACCACTTCGTGGCACTCAGAGTTTGATCTATTTTACTAAGCGTCGAGGTTTCGCTTCGTGGGGCGGAATTTCTTTCTTGGGTAGTGGGTTTGGCCCATGCTTTGGTTGCAGAGGTCGTGGGAGAGAGTGTAGCTTGCTGCAAGATTTTTTGGTGGCTTGAGATTGGTTCGCAATGGCGGAGGACGGATACAAGCCCTGGTGGGCAATAGACAAGGCAGCATGGCGTGAGGTTTTTTCGCCATTCTACAAGTTTGCGAGCATCTCGGAGCGCCGCGACACGCCGTTGCCTCCCTGGAGCGAGTCCGACGTGCAGGAGTTTATCAACTCTGACCCTGTCTACGGCCCGCAACTGAAGCTGGTACCCAATTCAGCTTCTCTCTTCCTGTTGTTTCTGCATTAGAACGCTGAAGTGTCCCTTTTTACTGCGTTGCGCTTTTTTGAAATAGGCATGGCAGTGTTTCCGCCGATGATTAGATAAATTGTTAAGAATGTGTGCTTTGCGATTTAGTTTAGCTGCTTGTGTATGACTATTAAATTTAAGCTTCACATTAGCACCGAAAGCTCTATATCAATTCATCTATTGAACATCTTGTCTTCCCCTCTTTCTCTAGGTCTTGTAACTTCGTACTTCCTCACGATTGAGTAGAAATGCAAGTCTTGCCATCTCCTTAAGTTGTCCAGGGTGCCCGAGTTTTCTATTCCTTGTCCTAGGTGTAATTTTCACACTGAATGAGACATTTTTTCTTCTACGAGCCATACATCATATTGTATTCTTCTTTTCTGAAATCGTTGCTCACCTTGTATGTGCGAATTCATTATGCTTTAACATTGTTGTGAGGTTTCTGCGATGTTGATCCTTTTGCCATTTTATCCTGCTCTCACTAGCTATGTTCGCAAGTTTTCTGCGTGGTAAATGCCAGCATAAGAGAAAATGTAGTCATCTATTGTACGCATTACAGCCAGCAAACATATGCTAGATTCGTTTTGGTAATGGCTGGGTATAGAAATTAAAAGATACCTTCACTTAGCAACTGCCGAACCGATTTGATGCAGGTGAGACAAGGTGCTACCATCGCCAACGTTGGGGCACTTGTTGGAGGTCTGGCGACTGCAGGGATAGCTCTCAGGTACTCAAAGAACCTTCCAGGAGCAGTAGGTGCTTTTCTTGGAGGTGCAGCTATGAGCTGGGCGGTGGCAGAAGAAGGGGCTAACCTCGGGTTAGGACTTTACAAGTTCAACTGTATGGATACCAATCTCAGGTTTTTGGACTGGTGGGAACGGAAACAAGCTTGAGTTCGGTCGGTCAGTCGCTCGGTCTTCTCTTTAAAAGATCCCGTAATAATGAGGTTAGCATCTGATTACAGCCCACATGCATTGATATTATGCTAGTTTTATCAGGTACCATTAATCTGATGTCCGTGTGAATTCGCTCTGCGAGAACGCAAATAATTGGGTTGTGAATGCACATGGTCAGTTGGGACTTCTTAGTAAGAATCCTGAATGTAAGCAATGGTGCTTTGATTTGATTATGGACATGAGTTGTTGGAATGTCACTCCTTTGATTGCGTTGTTCTTTTTCCAAATATTTTGATGTGTTGAGCTCGATGGTTTCGTGCTTTTCTACCGCTTGGACAAATTGAGACTTTAAATACGTCAAAGATGGGCGCTGATCAAATATTGACTATAAGACTTTCCGTTTTGTACACGATTAAAAGGAGGTGTAGCTGATTATAGTTAATTACTCGAATGCGACAATGTGCCCGAAAGGCGTCGGTGGTGGTCGTGATTACATTGCAGTTGCATGTTTCCCTGCGGCAAAAAAACACTTGAAGCAGTTGTCGGAGATTGATAGCGCGTACTTATGTTGTCCGAGTCTCTGTCTATAATATACGGAGAATAAATTCAACATCAAAATAATATATTGTATGCAGTTACAAGACTGCTACTCACAATCGAAAATCTTGGATTAATGCGGCAACCACATGTCATGACTAGTAACACCCACTGTTAACAATGAGTTATTAGGAGAGTGGCATAAGGCTAAAGTTCAAATGCTGCAGCAGATTATCAAGGACCGATGGTTCCTGAGAAACAAAATTCCCTTACACATTTCTATCATCACTAATTCCACTATCCCCTCCATTAGAACAAATTGAAACTGGAACAAGTAAAGTATTTTTACAACATAAACCTCGGATCACTATGTATGAGCTACATGTACAATTGTTTTGGTCAAACGGTAGTTTGACGTGAAAACATCTGTAACCTTGGTTGTATTCCCACACTCATGGGAGAGCAGTCACCAATTTAAGCAGCAGAATCGTTACTTGACGATCTCTTGGGTGGCCAAGAATGATGGAATTTACAATCAGGTCCATAGGGGCACACTGGAACCTCTCCTTCGGCACAATCAAGCCCTTGCCACTTGTGACATTCTTTTGCCCACTGCCAAAACAAACATAGAAATCTTTCAACCTCCAATTTGTGAATTGGATACGCACATGGTAAGGTGAAGATCTCTTTCATTCGTTGACAATACTAATAATGGCCTCAATTAGAGAACTAAAACTATGTTGGTAATTCTTGTCATAAAATTTCCAATTAAGAGTTTGATGATTATCCTCCAAATATTTATATGAATTTTCTTTTACTCATTTTCTCCACCAGTATAATCAGCATCATTAAATGTAATAATTCAAGTAACTATGATATAGAAAGTAAAACGACCATTAGTACTGTTCTCACCGGTCTAAGTGGAAGTCCGTGACAACCAATTGTTGGCACAGATCGGCACTGATGGTCAATTTCACACATCGGAGCGGACATATATTGAGAAAACCTTGGACCGTTTTGGCATAGCTGGGTTTCATCACGTCTACTTCCAGCAACCTTGTAAAAAATTTCATGCAATGGAGAGCATTTAGAAAGAACGGAATTACGCTTGCAGTAATTATGAAAACAAAACAACAAAGCTCCGACTAACACGACCTTACAACAGTTGAGGGGTGAAGACCAACACCAAGAGACCTTGACATACTGCAATTGCCACGCTGCAATTCAAATTTCCTGAGCCTTACCAAAAAGTTCACAATAGGTTTGAGCCCCAATAAATTAAGTAATTACAAAGTCCAGAATGTTGTGTAGCCATTTGACAATTTCTACCAACTTGTTATGAAACGTACTTGATTTTCTTGAACTGGCCCATCGTGGCAAGATTCCGCAGTTTGAGCTGAATAATCTGTGCTGCTGGAAGCAACACCCACCACATGTGGAGAAGAACATTCCGCATTGCAATTGTCAGCAATTGGTAAATCTGTGCTGTATTGATCAAATTGATCCTTCTGATCGTTCTGCATAATGACTTCATCTCTGTTCGTGTTTTCTTGGTATTCAGCATCAACATTCTTGCACACATTCCACAAAATCAACTTTGAGTGCGTCAAATCTCTCTCTCTCTCTCTCTCTCTCTCACTCTCTCTCACACACACGCACACAAACACATGTATATATGTATATATATACTCGATTCAGTTATGTTGCTTACCTGCTCGCTTTGTATAGACGACTCTGGTGAGCTTAAGGAGCCAGCCATGATGTCTTCACGAAATTCTGCAGTAGAAGAACATGGAAATAAAATTGTGATAGAAGAACTAATCTCGTCACTCTATCTAAGGTTTTCAAACTCAATTCAAACCTTTCAATCAAGCAAGCAGGGAAATGACGTACTTTGCAAACCTTAACACTTGTTGACTGGCTAGGACGTCCACGGCCCTGAATACGATTCACATCGACATAAGCACAGAACCAGAACAACGCGCCCGTGAAATACAATCCAGAGCTATATATATGATCGCAAAAGCTCAAGGAGAAGATAAGACTAATAGAAACCCCAGTAGAGAGAAGGTGAAAAAGAAGGGTGGAGTGATCACAGAACACCTCTGCAAACCCTGAAAAATGCTATTCTGCAGAACTCTACCGACCTAGCCTGAAACCAACACCAGAAAATACCACAACATTGACGACAAAAATTTCAGTTTAAATTTCTAAAATAAACCAGTTCATCAAGTTCACAACCAGACTAGAATTCAAATTTAGTACTAAGAGACAGACTCCAGTCTAAATTGGAGAACTGAAGTGGTAATCTTGGAGATCAAACAATCGCCGCCCCACTACGTCAACGTCAGCTTTTAATGAAGAAATATAATTTATATTCAGAATGTAGGTTGATCGCTCATTGGAGGTGCATTTGTAAAGTACTTGGGATCGTTATAACTGCGCAACTTATACCGCTCTCGACGTCCTTGAGTCGCTTCAGGGACTTCAGATCCTACTTCAGGTCCTTGAGACTGTGGCGGTCTAACGGGAGGACCTAAAAAAACTCTGAATAATATGTTGTTTAGAACCGTTATGAGTATCAAGCCTATGCCAATATACAACGCAAATCCATCTCCAAACTCGGGCCAGTCTAATTTCTTCCCTTCTTCCGGCGCCAGTTTCTTCTCATCCCCTACGAATTGAAAACAAGTGCCCCGAAAATCAGAAGAATTCGACTACGGCACAAAATTCTCAGCCGTATCTATTACTGCAAAGTAACTAAACAAATAACCCAGAGAAAAACCTAAGCATTGCATGACATTGGAATGAGCAAAATTGAATCAATACAGAACTTGGTAGAACTTGTGTTACTTTTTATGGTCAGTGAGGTTAACAATGAAGATTTTCAGATTTTCATTCATTCACCTTTTCTTGCTTCTCTTGCATCGGAGATACGTCTGTCGGAGGTAGAAAGTGTACGCAGCTGATTGTCCAGTTCATCGAGCCCTCTTCTCACGCTCCCTTCTGATACGTTAGGTCTTTCTTCCCTTTCAGAATCAGCTCGAGGTCCTGCCTGTAAACTCCTCTGAGACAACTTTGAACCTCTGCAAGAATGCCCATCATTTTCGAAAAATCAGAAACAACCGCAAAAGAATCCAGCTAAAAGCGGACAAGTGAGAGAAAGGAGAGAAAAGGGTACCTCACAGACCCTCGCCTTGAACTCGATGGACTACTTCCAAGAGGAATTGCGCGAATCCCCAACTGTTGCGGTAATGCGCTTCGCAAACCCAACCCTGAGAATCAACACCAGCTAAATAAGACAGCGAAGAGTGTTGAAGATTTTATAAATTCGATGAGCAACCCATCAACAACAGCCCAACTGAATTCTCTCCCAAATTCAAAGCCTCACCAAAAGACACGCTTCTAACCATCCCGGATGTAACATATCTCCCTAGTACCTACCTGTAGGCTGCTGCTGCAGATGAGAACATACAGTCCTCCAATTGGCCAGGCAAGGAGCAATCACCAACGTAGACATCGCAAGAGAAAATAATTCTACCACCGCAAACACGCCCTGCGCAAGAAAATTTCGTTCTCTGCACTATTACCGCATCCTGCAGCGGAATTTTCTTCGTTAATTCAAGCACCCACTAGAATCCCTCCTCGCAATCTCTAAATCTCTCTCACCCTCGCAACACAATTCTTCTCTGTAAAGCCCTAAACCCGAAGCATTCCCACTCTTCCAACATAATTTCGTCGACGGTTCGTGTGGATGACGCTAATTGTGGTATCGATCCGTCCGTGCTGGGTATTATATAACTGATTCGGTTCCCAGTATATAGATCACTTCGTCCGGTTCCGGGTATAGATTGCTGAGTCTGGTTCCAGGTTTAAGATCGCTGCGTCCGGATCCGGGTAGGTATCAACCCATGTGGAGCATTTCTCTTTTATCCAATGAAAAACTAGGTATACAAAATAATTGAGTGTAAGGGTATTTTTCAAACAAAACGTTCCGTTCCTTCTAAGTCACTTGTATTAATAACATTAAAACTTATAATAATAGATTTGCAACAAATGTTGTCTTGTTATTGAGTATGTATTACATAAAAATTAATATCACAATACATGGATTATTTATTTATTTATTTATTTATTTGTAGAGCGTGTAATAACTTGAATCCGTTATTGGATTAATGATAAATCTATATTCTTTTGTAATTGAAAGGCGAAACTATCAATAGTTTATGTTTAATATTACTTAAGTTTTTGATTGGTTCATGTCATTTTGAAAAAATAAAGTAAATGAAATCACAAAGTATTACAGAACTATTATTTTTACTGTAACATTCATCAATATCAATCTTATTTCAGTATGATGAATGATACTATCGTTAATGTATAACTTAAATATCTATGCATATTGGTAGGTATATATATGTATATATGCATGAACAATGAAGTTTGTTATGATAATATGTTTAGTTTATCATAGCTTGTAATGTTATTATTCTTTTTGCAACAATTTACAAGTATTTTAAAATAATCTAAATTAGATGTTATTTTTATAAATTTAATGTATTTTATTTCACTGTCTTGTACAAATAAAATGAGAGAAAATAAGTTATAAAGTAAAATGTATTAACTTTTAGAAATAGACTAAAATTTAACAGAGACAAATAACATTTTTGATAAAAAGATAAAATAAAAAAATAACGCAATATAAAGTATTTGATTTTGCAATAAATTATACAAGAAATAAAATACTGAAATCTCAAAAAAAAGGTTGAAATAAATGTATTATTCAAGTGTCATTGAATTTTGATTAGTAAGTATTAATGTTGGAGTGGTGGAGTTAAGCACTTGAAGAAAAGTGGATTTTACAGGATAATTAAGCAATGAATTAACAAATAAGAAACATAGACAGCTTTTTGTGCAAGCCAACTTTATTTTTTCATTATCATTTTTCATGAAAATATTTTTACAGCAAAAAAAATTAAATTGAAAGTACAACCACTATTCTGATCACGAACGGCACAAGTTTCCACAATATTGTATAAAAACAAACGTTCTGCTTAAGAACTTATTATATATTTATTATTTCTTTGGTGTTGGTGGAGAATTGTAGCCTAGAAGTAGCACTGCTGAACAATACCAAGTTGAAGGAGAGACGCGCATACATACCTTCAACCTCACGAAAGCAGAAAGCTCCGACTTCCTCGTTTTCCCAGGCGTTTTGATCAGTAGCGAGAGTTACACCAAAGCCACAACTCATGGCAGTGAGGTGCGCCTAGAACCGCAACACACGGTGGAATGAATGAAGCCCTTTCGGCTCCATGATAGTATCTTGAGAAGGCCGTGTCCGTGCGGGAGGTTGCAAGTTATTTATTTATTTATTTAGTTTTGCTTTTTTGATGTCTCGTAGGCTGCGAGAGAGTCAGGATCGCTCTAATCGCTCATCTATTGTTTTTTAGACGGTTTAGGAAAGAAGTTCTCACATGCAATCGGACTCGGTGGGCCAAGGAAGGAATGGCAGGCACACGGGGACCCCCTTCTCAATGACCGAAATCATTCATTCGATCCACTTCCACGGCAACGAAGCTGCCGAGATCGTGGATGAAACGCTGGAGCCTGCTGCTTCTGCTTTCAACCCTCTTTCCGACTCTCTGAAGTTGTTCGAATTGTTCCTGTGTTTGGTTCGAGACATATTTTTTTGTTGTTGCGCCATTCGGAAACCCTTGATCGCTGCATTGCACTGTTGCTCTTATTCGGGAATACCTCGAAGCCTTGTACATCTGCGCTTACTTCCTGGTCGTGCTGCTCTGTCCCGCCTCGGAAGTGGTGGATTGAGCAGGTTTTGAGGCTTGAATACCAAGGCGCGGTCTTCTTCTTCTGTTCAGGAACAATATGTGGAAGTGAACTGTACCGATTGTACGCTTTTTGATGTTTCTGAAGAGAACAGTCGTAGCTGAGCATCATGGATGGGTGCGTGTATTCGTACTTCTCTCCCTTCCTACTCTGTTTTTATTTAGCAGCAATGGTCAGCATTGGGAAAGACATTTCTCTTGTAGTTGAGTGATGATCTTGTGGCGGCAATGTGTGATGTTTAGTGGATAAGTTATCCTTGAGAGAAGCCAAGTTTAGGGAGTGAAATATCGAAATGAGAGCAGAGATAGGAGTACTCCAGCATCTTTGGCATTACGGTCGTTGTCAGCATAGTCTGGTTGAAACATACCGTAGTTCTTGTTTAGATGTGCTCTCTGCCCTTACAGCAACCAATTCCTAAGCACGGTCGCTGCCTCTTCAACTCCTTTTAAGATTCTCTTACCAGAGAGGCGGGTCAGCATGATTAGAACACCCACATCTTCTTCCCTCGGTCTAACTAATACGTTTTCATTTCAGGAGTTCGGACTTGGAATTATTACAGCGTTATCGTCGAGACCGACGGGAACTTCTCAACTTCCTCCTGTCTGCAAGTGTGATCAAGAAAGTTATTATGCCCCCCGGAGCTGTCTCATACGATGATATTGATCTAGATCAAATAAGCGTGGACTATATTCTTGAATGTGCTCGCAAAAGTACGCAGTCTCTTACATTTTTCTGGACAGCATCTGAACGGAACAAATACCATTGAAACAGCAAAGCTTTCGCGATTGGATTTCTAATCTGTAATCTTTTGTTTTGGTTACTTCGATGATTCGCGCTGGTTAATTCTCTGTCGGTGTGAAGGAATTTTCTAGTTCTCTTAAAATGCATTGTCTATGGTTTATTTCTATTTGAATTCGTGAAGCACGTTGTACTTGTAGATTTTGCATTGGACCTTTCTGAAGCGATCAAACGGTATCATGATGACCTCAGTTTGCCACCCTCGGTTAGTTCAGTTCTTTCTCTCTTTGAGTCTTAAGCTAAGGTGCACCGTGCGCCTAACTTATGAGGGCCTTGTTACCATTGAAGACTGTACGTGGACCGAAATTTAAAGTTGCAATTGTCTTAGACTTACCATCGTCTTCTTACTTAGGTCGATCGGATTCTATTTTTGCTGCCAAATATCCATATATTTGCCTTGGCAAGAGCGCTTGCAAATTCTGATAATTGTCTAATGGATTTGCAGTCAGGAACTAAATTGGGAGAGGTTTACTATCTGGTCACGAATCCTGACCTATCTGGTCCTTCCCCGACACGACCACCCCCTGGCAAGGGTTCTGTAGGAACTACAACACCTCTTGCTCTTACGTATAAGTCGAGCTTCTCTCTGCAATCCACACCGTCAAGACGTTTGGATGGTTATGACGACATTGATGAATTCGAGGACGATGACGAACTTCCTCAAAAATCGAATCGAGCACTGAATGACATCAGTGACTTTGTGTTAGATTTGCCACCTTTTGCAACAGGTAACTTAGCACACATAAGCTGCTGCTTCCCGCTTATGACTCAAAAACCTACATGCATATGCACAGCGCGAGATAAATACATTCGATGTGTACATCTAAATCGAATGATCTGTCTCTCAATAATATTCGATCTAGATTTATATTGTAAGAGTTTAATGTGCTGAATGCAGTCAAATGAGAATATTGGTTAGGAGATAAATAATGAAATGGTGGATGCTTGAGAGTCGGTTTCGCAATTTCACACATATGAACCGCAGAGTTTGGTTGATTTTCTGTTGTTTGAGAGTCCGTCTTCGCATGTTCAGGTGCGTGCTTCTAACGAGATGAATGCAGTTTATTTAGTATTATTGTGCAACACCGAAGCCATCCAGTTCACAGTTTATTTGCGTGGTGTTATTTGGATTATACTAACCACTTGGTAAGGCGGATTCTTCGTTTAAGTAGCTGGTGGTGCCTATTCTTGCAGCATGGGTCGGCCAATTATGCTCTATCTGCTATGATCTTGTTAAAATTAAATTACATGTTGTGAATGCAGGGCTATCGGATGACGATCTGAGAGAAACGGCCTATGAAGTCTTGCTAGTGTCCGTTGGTGCTGCAGGGTAACTGCATGTTTCATCTTCTTATATATACACTTCAGTTTTACAAACTTTGACACATTGTAATCCATACGTAGTCATTGGTGTTCCTTTTTACGATAAACGAAGGCATATTTGATGCTAGGTTGCAGGTTTCTGCTTTGTTTCGACTTTTTTGTGTTACTTTCTTTTCATATGATGAGGAGGTCGAGAAAGCCCCTCTTCCTAAAATTTTTGAAATCGCCCACTCATTCTGCAGAGGTCTCATATCTCCGGCTAAGGAAAAAAAGGAGGAGAAGAAGTCAAAACTAGTGAGGAAATTCACAAGAAACAAGGCAGACAAGTATGTACCAGCTCCTACACGAGCACCGGGTCTTGCTGGGCTTATGGAAACCATGCGCACACAAATGGAGGTTGATAATGACATCCTATTTCTTAGCAACGGATACATTCTTCTTCTCTTCAACAGCTGTTTCATGCTTCCAATGCTGGCTTTTATCTGTGTGCCCTTCAAGGTATCATTGTATATCTGGTGTTTGTTTTTACAAACTTAACCACTGTCCTGTGATTCCAGATTTCAGGAGTTTCTGATCGACGCACAAGGGAGGCGATTCTGCACGCATCTGCAGGAAGGGTTGGGAAAAGAATGGACACGTTGCTTGTTCCGCTGGAGCTCCTTAGTGCTGTACCTAATTCTGCTTTCACTGACAAAATTCAATATATTCGCTGGTCAAAACGACAGGTTGGTATATCCCATTTTTTTGTTGGAGAGTAGGTCCATCTGAGAATTGAATTGAATTTAATTGCGTTTACATTTGGCCTTCAATCTGAAAGTTCCACATGCCAATGAAGAGCATGCGTATCCTGCTAGCTGTGCTATCTGCATGAAGACATTGACAAATCTGATCTATGCTAGCGTCTCACAACTTATTCTTATTAAAATTTTTAAAGCACCATTATCGTGTGCAGATGAATCTGTTATTGGAAGGCTTAATAAATCACCCTTACGTCGGGATTGATCCATCTGATCGCTCAGTATTAGAATTGAGAGCTTTGATTGCTAAACTGGAAGAAGCAGAGGTAAAGGCATATGACTTTGTTTCATCGTTCTACAATGTGTGCTTGCATGTAGTAAGCATCCTCGGTTTGTTTTACATACCTTGTTCCCCATTCTTCTGTAGCAGGTCGTGATGATTTTTGCTGCATCTCTGCAGCTTTCCGATGGACCTAGGGTTTTATATACATTGAAATTCAGCAAATAGGAATAGTATTTGTGTTACCATACGTTCGTAGTAGATTGACGAGTTGGCTTGTACAGAGTCTGCCGTCACCTGCTGGACCTGCTCAACACACCGAGAGCTTGAGAGGCATTAGAGCTTTGGCTATCTCACTAGCAGAAAGAGCTGGTAGAGGGGACCATACAGGAGAAGTGTGCCATTGGGCAGATGGTTATCATTTGAACGTTCGCATCTATGAGAAGCTCTTGATGAGTGTATTTGATATTCTGGATGAAGGGCAACTAGTTGAGGTACGTCATTACACTCAGTTACTTTCTGATGGGTGGTGTCTTCTAAGCAGTTTCACTGAGGCTGCTATGATGCAATCAATTTCCTTTCAAAGGTTATGATATTTTGAAAATTCTCAATTCTGGATTTACGATCACATTGTACATTGTAAATTGATCCTGAATTTGTAACTTTGTATTTGCCACTGAGCATTGTTCTGTTTTGTGGTTAACTGGACGTATCCATGACAGGAGGTGGAAGAGATTTTGGAGATGCTAAAGTCTACATGGCGGGTCTTGGGAATTTCTCAGACTATTCATGATACTTGTTATACATGGGTTCTTTTCCGTCAGGTAAAATATCTGACTGATGTGTATTCGTTAGCTATCATGGTAATAAATGATTTTCTTTTTAGAGTGACAGTTTTTGTTCAAATTGCTTTTAGCAGAGAAGACAGGGACTATTTTTGCACTTCTATCACTCCTCTTCTGTCCTTCATTTGGTGAATTGTTGCTGATTCTCTTGGTTACAGCATGTCTTGACAGGTGAGCCAGCGTTGCTGCAACACGCAGCACAACAAATGAAGAGAATTGCATCTGATTCGCAGCGAAATACTCAAGAGAGGTTTCATGTTAAGGGTGTAAGAGCCTCAATGGATGGTTTTGATGGACCTCCGGAACTTTCGTACGTGAAGTCGGTGCTTGTACCCATCAAGCAATGGGCTGACAAACAGCTTCGAGATTACCATCTACAATTTGCAGATGTATGAATACTACCGAATACACTTAAATCACCTAAACTGCTTGAGTTAAATATTCAAATGAGGCCTGTTGTGTGCTGGTCAAGCTACTCAACTAGAGTCAATACTTGACTTCTGTAATTGTTTGGGCTTTTGTAACATTCCTTGAAGTATGTGGAAATGCTTGTTTACAACTTCAATTTCGTATCTTTAATGAGCTGAGAATCTTGAAATCAATCACAAGTTTTTGTTTTAAGTCTTCTCATGTGGTCCTCTTTCTTTTGTGCAGACTCCTAGCAAAATGGAGGTTCTCGTGACGGTGGCAATGATTGCTGGTCGGCTGATTTCAGATGATAAAGACCAATCCAGCGTATGTGAATTATGGACAGGCACATTGATATATTTGGTTCTCTTATAATTCTTTCGCATTCTCTTCTTACAATCCATCAGATGGTTTCAGTATGACCACATATTGATTCATCTGGATGGATGGAAGTTCTAGGACTGCTTGCCTCTTCAATCGTATTTTTCGTTCTTGAATTTAAATATCGATGACAACTGTGATGAATATGGATACACCTAATGGAACGAGGCTGCGTGCAGGTAGCAAGAATGACATCTGCTGCAGAGATGGCAGCTGTCGCCAAGCAGGCCGAAGATTACATCTGTTCATCCGTGAAGTCTGCTTACGACATGGTATACTTTTGTGTCGCTTGAAAGATTAGAAGCTGTCAGGATGAAAAATTGAGAGATTAAAATACAATAGCAGAAGCCAACCTGTCTAATCATGTAGTATCGCGTACAAGCATCACTTCTCTTTTTCTTTTCTTTTTTTCACTTTTGAGACCCCCTCGCACAGTAATTTATTTTCTTTACTTCTTGTCCCTAGAACTACCTTGTTCAATTGATTCAAGCTACAACGGTGTTTTGACAGATTGTTGAGAAACTGGAGTCAAATCAAGAGCACCTTGATTCACATCCACTAGCCGAGCTTGCTGCGCAAGTGCAAAAGCTGGCTAAGAAGGATGCCGATGTGTTCTCACCTATACTTTCTAAGTGGCACCCTCAGGCCATCGCTATTAGTGCATGCCTGTTGCATACACTTTACCTAAAAGAACTGGTATGTTTTATTAGCATCTATGTGTATGAGTTTAGAGGATTTAGTGATCACCTTGTGTGCATTCAGCTATACTTCGCAACTTATACTGCTGATTGTGTTGCAGAAACCATTTCTGGACGAGGTGTCACAACTCACAGACGATGTTTCGTCCGTTCTGCCGGCAGCAGATAGCCTTGAACAGTTTTTGATGGAGCTCATCAAATCAGTCACTGACGATGATGATGCCAGGCGTGATTTTGAGCAGCAACTGACACCATATCAAGTAAGCACATGTTGGAAGCTTTGTTCCTAGTGAAGAATTAGCGTATGCACATGAATCTCCGGTATTGCTAGGTAATTACATGGTTCTTGCCCATCATTACTCTGAAAACTTTCTAGTTCATTAATGTTTGTTATTGATTCACTGCTTCCGCAGGTGGAAGTTGTTTCAGGAACAATAGTAATGAGATGGGTTAACACCCAACTTTCGCAGTTGACGGAGTGGGTTGATCGAGCAGTACAGCAAGAAGTTTGTCACTCACTTTTTTACGAAAACCTTCGTGAAGTTGGAATGTGAACCATCTTTGAGCATAATTTGGGTTGAATCGTTTTCGGATGTGCATTAGTTAATTATGGACTCCCTTATATTGTTGGAGCGCAGAAATGGCAAGCTCTGTCCCCTCAGCAACGGCATGGAGGGTCAATCGTGGAGGTCTTCAGGATTATCGAGGAGGTGTGGATTCTTCTTACTTGATGTTCTGTAACTACTAATGAAAATAAACTTTCGTTTTCACACCTGACTATGGCATGTCTTGTCTGGACTCTCCCCACGATCTTTCCTAAACCTGTAAATGGTATGAGCAGTAGGTGGTTTTTGTTGGAAAAACTACATTTTCTTTGGTTAACCCGTCTTTTGTTACCTAGTGTGGACTGATGTACTTCACATAACTCACGTAGCGTTCCAATTTTTCATGAACGAGGCGAGTGATGTTGGCCACCTTCTAAATTTAGTCCTCCAAATGCTACCCAGATGGCCGTTATGACTCCATCCACTTTGTTACTCGAAGTACAGTTTAGCATAAACGTCAAGTCACATGAAGTTTGAGTCAAAGTTCACATAAACCAAATGAACTCCAAATTATGCGAAGTTGTGAGACGTACTGTACAACCACATTGTTAGACCAAATCTATATGGCTTTTGAGTGATTCGCAGTGAGCATCCCCGTAATCCAGCTTCTTTTTGTATCTCAACACACGAATTCGGGTTGACTATTCTAACAGTTGAATGCTCTTGTGGGCTTGAGCAGACGATGGACCAGTTTTTCAAGCTGAATCTTCCAATGAGACTACCTCAATTGAAGGGCCTCACGAATGGGTTCGATAATGCCCTGCAGCAGTACACCAGTAAAGTAGTTGCTCAACTGGGTAACATTTCTTTCCCTCCCTTAGTCCACTTGTACATGATGTGGGGCCCTGAAGTCGCGTGATGAGACCACACTGCAATGCCACATGGAAGTTTGGGATGTGGAAACGTGCTTCAACGTCGCAACCCTGAGGACGTTCTTGATACCCTTGTCACGGCCATGTGGATGCCGCAAAATAAAGTCAGCAGGGACATCTAATTCCCAGCCCTGGCATGGAAGTTGAATCCATGGCTTCGTCATCAGAGCTTTGTGGTCAGTCCAATCGTAGGAACATGTGTATCCAAGGAGTCATACATGTGAGATGCCATGGAGGTTCACATTTATTAGGGCTGGTGATGAGTTTCCAGATTTGTATGTTTGGTCCTATTCGACAATGAGCAATTATAGTATCATCACATTCGTGTCGTATGTACGCGTTTGCTCAGGTGATACGAGGGATCTAGTTCCACCAGCTCCAAGCTTGACTCGCTACAAGAAGGAGGTTGCTATGAAGTCGGTGAGCAACAAGAAAAAAACTGCAGATCCGCGCCTACCGGATGAGAGACGGTCTAGCGAGATCAATCTGCTGTCTACCACGTCTCTTTGCGTTCGTCTCAACACACTTCACGTAAGTTGTTTCGTTTTGGTCTTGGTTGATGATTTCAGCAAGAGTGGAAGTCACGGAGATATGAATACGCGTTACTACCTGTCGTAACTGTCGAAGGCGCTATTATATTGAACTCACTAGATGTGTAGGGTGCTAAATTTTCCAAAATCTCGAAGATTTCACCTGGGTGTATTACTCTTATGTAGCCATCATCTGCACAGGATGGTTGGATATCAGGATTGTAGTCGTCATGAGTATGTAATGCAATACGTTGTATAAGTCGACTCCCGGAAGGTAATTGTGTTTATGTGATGACTTTGATGGTGCAGTATATCTTGGGTCATGCCGACTTGCTCGAAGACAACATAAGGGATCATTGGGCTGCGAAAAGACCACAAGACGGCTTCTCTCGTGTGAATGGCACACCTTCAAGTACATCCTTAGAATCTCATGCTTTTGTTATGTTTTGGATCTCTCAAGTTTGACAGACAGTTCAAATGCCACTGGCATGACCAAAAAGTTGGTAGAAGTTGTTAGCAGCATATTTGAACTGGTCTTTATGGTGGCGAGTTAGGAGTGCCGAAGTTAATCTCTGCCGATATTTTGCCTGCATCATGGTTATAGGTTATGTTATAGTATTTCAAAGTGGTGGGATTCAAGATTGCTTGGAGTCGTTTGATAGAGAACAAACCGGCTGTTTTGTTTGGCCGATATCGAATAGGTGGAGTTTTGTTTATCACGTCATTCTTAGTGACAACTTTTGAGAAGAATGATTGTGAATGCATTTTCCATGTTCGTCTTCTGGTAGTGACGATGAACAAGTCTCGTGTGCAGAGCGTGGAACAGGAGATCTGGACATGACTAGAATGCGAGAATCTGGGAACAGACAAATGGATTACCTTTCCACGGCGTTTGAGGGGTCTAGAAAAGCAGTGAATGCTGCAATCGATAAGATCTGTGAATTTACAGGTGAGAATTACAGATCGTTAAGTGCGTTTTGGAAAGACAGTTCCATAAGCGACAACAACGGGGAGAATGGGATAGTATGATGGCTGGTGTGCCTAGTTGGGTGGTGGTTAGTATTTGCTTATTAAGATGGATACATTCACGTACTCATCTTTTTATCTCTGTCAACGTTCATTTTCTTGTTGTGACTTGCAGGGACCAAATTGATATTTTGGGACATGAGGGAGATCTTTATTGATGGTTTGTACAAAGTCACTGTTTCACAAGCACGCATGCAAAATGTGGTAGCTGGTCTTGACCCTGTAAGTATACATACCTCTAAAGCATTCAGATTGACTTCAGGTTTCAGGATATGAGTGATGATGTCTAGGGTGTTCAAGGTAGAGAAACCAATACTAGGATGGTTTTGCGCTTGCTTGATATATGTTATACTCGTATACTAACAGACGCATAAACTACAGGTGCTAGGCGAACTTTGTGATGTAATTGTGGAGCCTCTTCGAGATCGTGTCGTGCTTGGTCTCTTGCAAGCCGCTTTGGTACGAGATTTTCCAGTTTGTTGCGGTCACTTGTGTTCATTTAGGGCTTTGTTGCTTAGACAACAGTACGTTTTTATTGTAATTTTTTACAAATAAGTTATATCTTCATGAAGGTCTGTTGAATGCATTTTTAGAAGGTGGTTAACGTGAGTGGCTTTTCTATGATTATGTCAGGATGGTTTGCTTCGTGTGCTACTTGATGGAGGACCAACCAGAGGCTTTTCTGCCAGCGACTCGACAATGTTGGAAGAGGACGTGAATGTGCTTAAAGTATGTGCTGTTCTTCGTTTCACTGGGTGATAGATGTTCTTCTGCTATTGCGTGGTGGATGTAGTGCATGTTCTTCCTGGTCATATCCTGACAGTGTCTTCCAATATGTTTTGGTCTTGGCAGGATTTCTTTATCGCTGAAGGAGATGGGCTTCCGAAGGGGGTGGTAGAGAACGCAGCATCTTCGGTTCAGCAAATACTGAATTTGTACAGTCTTGATGTGAGTTTCTGAACCATTTGTTATGGAGCGTGTGGTTGTCGTGTAGTGATTATTTTTTTGTTTTGTTCTTGGTCAAGGAAGTTCCTGAGCAGAAATTACGATTGTTTTTTTCACAGACCAATCAGATCATCGAATCCTTCAAGCGATCAGGTGAGCAAATGGCAGCAGGAGCAAACCCAACAAGAACAGGATCAACACGATATGCATCGGATGCAGATACTCTTCTGCGCGTTTTGTGTCATAGAATCGATCCAGTTGCTTCAAAATTTCTGAAGACAAAATTGAAGTTATCCTCCACTTGATAACTGATACGGGGTTGTAGAGCAGTTTGGTAGATGGTGAAATACCTGTCTCTTTGGATGAGGATTGTTGTGGGAATGTACGTTGATTCATAAGGAATTGGAGCTTTTGATGGCATCCAAAATTGCCAGTGTGCTGGTGCTGGACTTAGGTTGCATCAGCGAACGTATAAATATTCATATATCTGTTCGATGTGGGGACAGCAGCAGGTGTGTTTAGCCTTGAACACGATTTTTAGAGCATCGATTTCTGTAATCTCCCTTATGCTCCTATTCACATGTTGGTTCCTGTGCTGCTGTGGTGATTTGAAACTATTGTCAGGGTATCGCAGCTCTTATTGATTAGAGTGCTGGAGTCGTTGTCAGAGGTGATGTAAATAATTTTGTGCTCTGTATATCGTGATCAGTAGGTCTATGCCGCGAAGTAGGTTATTGTTTGTGGATCATGGATGGGAATGGGTGCAGTACTCACACCCACAGGGAGTTATAATCTCTTGAAGGTCACATTCTATTGAAATTCATGTACTTCAAATAATATCAAGCAATTAATTATCTCAATTTATGAAAATGTGATTATAGAAAATTACAACTTTTCAATTGAGGCACATGTGTAGGATTTTCATGTCCAATGCAGATCTGAAATCAGAAACTAAATTCAACAATGCATGTAGGCTTGGTTTTGTAAGTTGTCCCCGTTTCTAGTGTAGAAGTTTTCTCAACTTTGAAGCTGTCAAAAAATAAAATAAAAGTGATTACAATTGCATCTACTGTAATAACAAAAATCATTTTTATGTTATTTAAAAGTCATGGAACGGCATTTGAAATGTGCATTTTCACACAGTTGAAGTTTGATGTTTTTGCAATTTTACCACAGTTGGTGTTTGAATCTATATCTAAATTGAGAACATCTTTAAAAATACAATTAAAATGTGAATTTAGATAATGAAATTAAAAATATTTTTAAAGTGAATTAAAGAAATATATTAAATGTATTATGAATCAAAAAATTAAAATTATTAAAATATATATATGCCACAAGCCATTGCACACAAATCTTTTATTGAAATTTATTTTAAAACGTTTTAGTGTGAGTAAATTTTTTATTGTGTGTATGCATGGATGCATGACACAAGGGCGTCCACATATGTGTGTGTGTGTATATATAACCATATTTCTTATTCTAATGATTTGTTGACTATCACATTCTTAAAATCTACAAACACATAACAAAAAAATTATAACAATTGTGCAGTTCAAGATTAATATGCAGATAATGCAACTTGACTCACATGCAATTTGCTTTACCATCTTCTATTCTTTTTCCAATCCATGTGTGCAACTTTTCACTTGTAAGTTTTCATTCAGGGTCCAACTTTTTTTCTTTTTTACTTTATTGGAAAAGTTAAGAGAATGTGAAAAAAACCATCTGTTAATAGAGAGTACGAGCTCGGGATTTCCAAAACAAAACCATTCAAACAATACACACGAACGACTATCAGAACATTAACGCGATGTCTATCGATGCGCACAAACTATATTTCAAAAAAACATCTGTATTTGTAAACCGAGGATCTGGACAACTAAACAGTGGTTAAATAGCATGGATTAAGAAAGCCTATTCAATTATTTGAGCAGAATAATGCAAAGCCAAGGAAAGATATCCATGTTTATTAGGTCTCAGTTAGTGGGTAAGCGTGAGGGGGGGGGGGGGGGTGAAATGCCTACCTGAGCCTCTTCGTGGTCAGAACAATTCCTGACGAGGAGGGAGATCGAGTGTTTCGTTGTCGATCGGGACTCTCGTTTTGTTCGAGTCACGTGTGGAAAAGTGTTTTGTTGTTGTCTAGATCAAGTATCGCCCCCCACTGGAGTTTAAATTCATGAACTGGGTTGGTTGGGTCCCTGCGTTGTAGGAAAAGTTCTGGCGTAATAAGTTGGAGTTGATGCCCTCTGCCTCTTGTTGACAAGGTCCTTAGATTACGTGGTTGGGTTTTATTGTAGCTCTTGGGGTTAAACCCAGTCGATTTGTGACTTGCAGTACGCACACTGGATTTGGTCAGAGGGGAGGTAGATGATCGTGGTTTCGATGAAGTTGTAAGTGTGTGTCTGTGTGTGTGCGTTTTTGTGTGTTTGTGGAGGGAATTGTGTTTGCTGTTGGTTGGTGGCGTTTTAAGGTTTTTAGGGGGTTTTAGTGGTACAACGGAATGATGAAGAGGGAGGATGGAAGCCGGTTCAGGACCAATAGCACAGATTCGCTCTTCACGGATCGTAGGGATTATGTGTCTGTGCGAGTGTCTGATTCTGCGCAGGACGCTTCAAGACAGCCTTTTGGTCTGGCAGGATCAGGCGACTCATTCAGCGACGATGAAGACAGCTCTGGGATTTGCTGGTTTCCTCGGCGGCGGTGGAGTGGGGGCCGCAAGGGAGAGTCACTGGGAGTGGAAGGAGCAGCTGGAGCAGGTTTCTCACGGTTTGACGCTAATCAGTCCAAGGGTCGACCTAATTCGATCCGATCGCAATCCGCAGGAGGAAGGGATGTGGCTTGCTGCTGTTGCGGCCCACGATGGGATAGAAAGTATAGGGATTCCTCTAGCGCGAAATGCCATGGAAATGAGAAGCCGGGACTGAAAGAAAGGGCAATGAACTTGTCTTTCTTGCAGAAATTCGCTTCCAACCGTATTTCGCATCAAAGTTTGGACGACCTCCTGAGGAGCCCCGGCTTATCTCCTAAACCAGTAAGAATTCTATCCAAAAACGAGAGAGACAAGGAAAAAGAAGCGTTTGTTCCTATTTGGCAAAGAAGGTCAACTACTCCCATTAAGCTCGATCTTAGGACAGGTCCACAGGATGTGTAAGAAAACCACCGTAGAAACTGCTAACTACCCAAGAAGGTTGTGCTCTCAACGAAGTGTCAGGACCTACTGTGGAGTTTCAAGGAGATTTTTGCCGACACTGTGAACTTCTCGAGCTAAGTCTCATCTCCTCGAACATGCAATTTGAAGGTCTCACGTGGTCTTTAAATCTGAGCTCCGTAGCTCAACGCAGAAGTGATATGGCACTACAGAAGTTCAGCAGCACATCTGTGAAATTTCATCCAGTTCCCAGCGGTTTCATAAACGTCGAGTATATGTGTAAATTTTGTTAAAATGACAGTGTTAAGCACAAGGTTAAATTAGGTGGTAATTATCGATGCGCAAATAAAGGATTTAGAAGTTTTAAACCAGGCATTTGTCTGAACGGTCATTTTTCCCAAGACCCCAAAATTCTCTCGGATATGTTGCGTTTCCTCCCTAAGTGTTAAGCAGGCTAAAAGTGGGGGATTTGCTGTTGGTTAGTCTAATAGTTGCCAATACAATCCAACTTTCATGCTCCTGTGTATTGTATTTGGAACCACGTCGGGATGCGTTCAGTTTATGTTTCAGCATTATTAAATTCATTTAACCCTTCGCCACAGTGTTTTGATGCCAATCACCGTGGAGCTGAAGTGATTCAACAATTCGTGGCTTCTCACAGAAATGCCAAGTGACTATTAGGATGTTTCTCATTTCAAAGTGTGCCACATCATCGAGTTATTTCTCACAACGCAGCTGCCATTTTCCTCACTGGTTACAGGCTCCTGATTTTAGAACTATGATGCGATGGAATGTGCAATGTTCATGTGCTGTGAATGGCGCTCGCGCTGAAAAAAAGCGTCCTTCGGATCCTTGAAATATCTTGAAATTCAACTTGATTTTGTAGAGAGTTTGTGAAACCTTCAGTGATTGAGTTCATGCACAGACTACTGTGTATCGATGTAAGGACTCGGTGGTAACTTCTGCTTGAAAACCACTTGCTTCGAGTTCAGTGGGCAGTGCAGCAGCAGTGAAAAGAATCGGATATCAGGGCAAGACCACACTGATGAGAGGATTGTAATCTGTATAGTTAGCTTGTATTATTTCCGAGGTGTAAATATATCCACTGCGGCTGCAATCAAAAGTAAAACCGTAAATTTAAGTCGGCAGGACTGGAAAGCGTACGCTTGCGCATCCATTATCAACAAATCAGATTTTACATCCTTCACGAGAGGACTATTCGATTCACTGTTCAGATCGCTCTCGTACTTGCACAGGACGATTATGAAGAATCCTCTGCAAAACTACCCACTTCTGCTTCTCCTCGCCCCAGGTCTTGAGTATACTCGATCGCAACGTTCGACTGCAGCAGGAATCTTAGAGCCCAATCCTTCAAGGTATGAACCATATTCACTGTAGCCCAAATAAACTGTAGCCTCTTCCTCACTCTGATCTCCACTGAAAAAAACATGGCGCCTGGCACCAGGAAAGCGAGGCACTGCTCTTTGCTGAATTTCGCGATAATCTTCGAGCCAACCTTGGGTGCATCCAATCTGAGCTTCACCCCAAGCTTCGATGGTTTCGTGAGCTCAAGCACCAAACCATGCTTCTCCGTCGAGGTACTTACATCAAATGCCGAGAGTGTCACGCTGCAGCTTTGTGGCTATTGCAGTTGATCCTCACCTGAGAGATTTTCCTGGTACCGACTCACCTTGATTCCCATCACGACTTCGCAGTCTTCCCATATTTCAATGAAAAGTTCAGCCGCAAGTCGAAGTTGGTGCAGTGTGTGCCGAAGCACCAGTTTGCCGCGCGAGTCGAGGAGAATTCTGGAAGACGTGCAAATTCATTCCTCAGCGGCGATGTGAACTTGAGGGGTGAGGAAATGGGCTCGATCGTCGGGGGCTTGAACACCGATACCGACACCGACTCCTGAATGTGTGGAGTCTGTTGGTAATCATGCGAGGGTTCGATCTCGTCTGTGGGGGTGGCGCCGCTTGCACGACGGCTGACATGGATTTCTGGAACATTCATTTTGGATTTTAACCAGAATAATTTTTCAGTTCAAATACATACACACACACACACACACACACATATATATATATATATATATATATATATTTGAATAATTGTTTCATTTGTTATTAATTAAATAATAACTCCTTAAACCAAATATTCTAGAGAATATGTAACTATTTTCAAAAGAGAAAAACAAGGTTTTTGTTTGTTTTTTATTTTTATATAAAGTTATTGTCTTGTTTGTTTCTCTACAATTTTCTTAACTTTATAATAAAAAATAATGAATGTATAAATTATTGCATGAGCATATTGTAGTCACATTTGATGGAGTTTTTTTTTTTTTTTTTTTTTTTAATAATGTGTTTTAATCATTTTCTTAGATTTTTTAAATAGTTAATTTTAACACTTTTTCTGTTTTCTTTTTTCTTTTTTCATCACATGTCATTTTTTTTTGGCATGTTTATAATTTTTCCTTAGAAACTCGAGCTCCAATCTTAAATAATGCAATAATAATTTAAAACTTGGTTAAATTTGTATTAATGGATAAATTGGAATACATATTAAATTTGGCTCTTATTAAGCAGAAAATTTATTACTTGCATAATAAGATTTTATTTTATTTTAATGTAAATGATTTTAATTAAAATAAAATAACTCAACACAAGAAATATATAATTATAATATAAGTGGAGAAAATAATTTTTCAAATTTTGAAATCAGTTTATTTTTTTCTATTTTTTTGGCAACAAAGAATGTTTTGTTACTATGTTGAAAAAGAAAAATATAAAAAATTCAACAAAACAAGTGTATAAATTTTATTAAACATTAATAAAAACGTAAAAGCTTGATAAAATATTAAAAAATATATCTGTAGCTGATTGTGTATTTAAACTTTTCTAGATTTTTCAATCTACAAATAAGACTATATAAATTTTTTATTATTTTAATTCTTAATTTTATTATTTTAAAATTTAAGAAAATTAGTTGGATATTTTACATCAATATGACTAATTTTTAATAAAATAATAATCATATAACTACTTCTTATGCTATTATTATTATCATCATCATCATCATCATTATTATTATTATTATTATATTTTAAAATTTTGTTTGTTTGTTACTTTTATTTATAATTATATGTTAGCTAGATGACAGATCAAATCAAAAATAATAACCATAAAAAAACTCAAAAGCTATAAATTGTTTGGGGGCACTTTGAAAGTTTAATCAATTTTTAAGAATTTGTTGCACACATTCCTCAACACTTGAAAAAATACATTAATGAGTATAACAACCTATTAATTTATAAAAACTCAATAGAATGCATAACCTGATAACAATGAATGTGTATATTTTTTGTAAGTATGTTTATTTTATAAAGGATTATAATTTGAAATTTCCAAAATTTTGTAAGTACCAGTAGCATTTTAGATTTGTAAGCATGTTGGTTTTATGTACTTATTTTTTATATTAAAATTACAGAATGCAAGTTTGATCCTATCATTTTAAACTTTCATTGTTGCTTTTGTAATTGCAAAAATATATCAACAAAAATATTTTTAGAAATTGGTAATATTTAAAAAAAATTAGAACATTCATTTAAAATAACATACATTGATTGAAAAAAAATCAAGACTTACAAAGCTATAACTAAATAAATAAAAAAAAAAATTGGATGTTCAATCTCAAGTAAACCCAAACATCCACGTAGATATCACCTTTGGAAATTGGCCAATAATTATGTGATAGATAAAAATTAAAGACAATTAGGCAAAAAATGTTGTACATTCCAAGACCAACTATGACCTGATAATTTACCTTCGACCCCATTTTGGCTTCCGTTTAACTTTCTTTCACTATTAGCATACTTCTTAATTTATTTACTTTACCTTGTTTTAATTCACCCCCAATTATAGCTGAAATCCTGTGAAATTCTCAGTTCGTATGGATAACAAGATATCACATAATTATACTCCACTAACTTAAAACCACAGATAACTGCAAAGATACCTCAGTTTATTGATTAGGGCAGGGGAGTGACTATGAGCATAACCTCAATCGTAATTGTCTTAATGACCCTAAACAGATTTAAGAGATCCACTGTCACTGGATTTATCAAGGGCCCAACTGAAATCAGCCCACGAATAGACGAACCCCGACGGAGGAGAAAGGAACTCGTCGGATGCGAAGTTCTCGTCCAGGCGACGTCTCCTCGAACGAAGCTCATCGTTGGACGGAAATTCTCGACGGGGAAGCGCCAAGAGGACGAAAGACTGCGACGGAAAGGAGGAGACGTCGAGACTGGGGAAAGAAATCGTCGAGTGGAAGGAAGGAAGGAGGGAAAGAGAGGGCGTGGCCCGAAATAGCAACTGAGTCGTCATTCGGGTTGTGGTCCGTCGCCGCTGCAGTGCCATGCTCTTCTACCCTAGCGGAAACGAACATCACGCTCTCGCAACCTCGTCGTGGCACTGCTCCTCCTAAGTTTCCACTGTCCAAGCTCTCATTCATTCTCGCCCCCTGCGCACGGAGTTTCTGAGCTCAGGGTTCAAATTTCTCGAGCAGAAGGCGCACGTTTGGGTTTGTGGGTGCCTGCCCGTGTGAAGGAAGGGTGGGTGGGTGTTGTCTGTGGGATTCGCGTGTGTGTGCGCGTTCGGGAAACAGAGGGAGAGCCGGGATTTTGGCGGGATTTTGGCGGGGTTTTCTTGTTTCGCGTTCTTTTTTTTGAAGATGGGGTGGCAGAGGGGAGAGAGTTATCATCCAGGTTTTGGTTGAGGAGGAAGGTGTGGAGAGAGGTCTTGGGGAAAGTCGTCTTGGAGAAGAAGACGTGAGTGTGCGGGTGGGAGTGGTCTGCAATAGCTTATTAAGGGATCTAGACTAGTTGCAATGGATCCAAGGGTATGTCGTGGTGGGGTTGAAGGGGCGAGAACTTGAGAGCTGTGATGAGGTTGCGAGTAGTTTGCAGTAGGAGCCGATATTCTGGGTGTTTTTGGTCGCTTGATTTGATCCAGCATTGAAAGAAAAAAAAGGCGGAGGTTTAAGAAGGGTGTGTGGGTTTCGAAGATGGCGAGTTTGGGAGGGGTTAAGAGCAGAGTCTCGACAGCGTGTCCATGATCATTTGCACCCCGGCGAAATCTCGGTGTTGGAATCTGGTCAAGCTCGCGGGCTCACAGAGCTGGAAATACCGTGACATGCGACAGAATTGGATTTCTTGATGTTCAGTGTGTTGAGAAATTGTGGGGTCAGTTTATTGGTTAAGCATGCGCATGATCATTAGCTGCATATTGAATATGACAGGGTTTAGTTTTTGAAAATTTTGGATTAGTAAAGATGCACGGGAGGCTTAGAATACACCTTCAGGTGCACATGATTCTCGTTTCTGGTGTTTGAGAGTATTGATCGAAGGTGGGGGATTAGAGAGAACCGAAGCCATGGATTCATTTGCGTAGGAAGCGTGAATTCATGGCAGCAGTGCAGGCCCTGGCTCGTGCACCTGTTGCCCTTCCGTCTCCAGCAACATCCTTTACCTCTCTTTCCACCCCTATGACTGGGCACTGGGGTGCTGGTGCCCTTCACCAGCGCCTCAATGCTTTTGTGAAGAAGTCTCTCATTCAGCAGCTTGTTCCTACTGGTGCTGTTGTAAGTTCTTTTCCCTCACTGTGTTCCAAGTCACGGGTGATTACAAATTCTCATTGCTACATGACCTATTCGGAGTGTAAAATTTTATGGAGTGTCGTACACTGCATTGCTTAACTGGTTTTCTTGGAAAAATATGTGCGTTAGTAACTTAGCAGCCCACTTTGCCGAACGTTAAAATTCTCGTCGAGGGGTTTTTTCTAAAAGCGTCACAGCATTCTGCTACATTGGATGCAAACCTCAAGATTGCCAAGTATCATGTTTATCTACAGTGGCTAAATCATTAAACACTTGCAGCGTAGTTGATGTTGTGTGAATTTAGTCCAATGCATGATTGCCACGCCAGCTCTGCTATCATCGAGAGGATCGTAGTATGAAGCAAACATGCTCAACGTCGCGCGACGTTGTTGCCAATGTTGTATCTGAAAGAAAAAGTTTCCTGGTTTCAGCAATTGTTTTGATGGCATGGGGGGTGATTAATTTCATGGGCGATCTATTTGCAGGTTTGTGATCTCTATTGCGGACGAGGTGTTGACACAGAAAACTGGGCTGCAGCACAAGTTGGGAAATATGTAGGCGTTGGTACGTGGCTTACAGTTCAATGGATATTTTCAATGTAGACGATCGAAGGAAGTGCTAAGCGTACTTTATTCTTTCTGCTAGAGTTAGAGCAGTGAATGAGAGATGTTGCACGTTTAGTAATTGTCAGTTGACTGTACTAACATTTTCTTGAGTGATAATTCTCACGTTGCATTTACTTGAAAGGCAGTTAATGGTTTTTTATTTTTATTTTTCAGTAATAATTCTTGTACTTGTGTATTCATGTAGATCTATCATCATCAGCTTTGGAGGAAGCAAAAGAACAGTGGGAGAAGAATGGGAAACCATTCGCTGCAAGATTTTGTGAACTAAACCCTTGCATGGTACTTATCGTTACGCCTTCGGGTTGTCTCTGGGTTTAGCAGTTGCCGAAACGTATAATAAGCTGTTACTAAATTTTCGTACTAAATCATCGCATTGGCAATATAAATTCGAAAAAGTGCTGACTTAGAAATGGCAACCGCAGTATACTAAATTTTGCAACCGACTTGTACGCAAAGAGAGTAACAGGAGCTGTAATCTGCTCTTGGAACATGTCCACGCTTACCTTGGACATGCGTTTGGACTGTACATTCTACGATAAAAACCTAACTTGGCATTCATCTGCTCCACCTTGACCCGGTTTTAACCTTGTTAGTTGTTCGAAAGCGAATTAGAAGTTCACAGTTGCTTAAACCCATCTCCGTGACTATTGTTTTCCGTAGTGATATGCGAAAAGAGCATAAAAATTACTGAGGATAGAGGTCTTGGATGTATTTGAATTAAATCTGGCGCTATTTATTTCATGCAACCTGTCTATTAGGATTTCAGGATAGGTTGGTGCACTTTTGAGGTCTGATTGAGCGACCAACTGATTATGCCTTTTTTGTCCTTTTTCTGCTGCAATGCAGATAGATTTGGAAAAGAACTTGGGAGAAGATCGTCTTTCTGCCGATGTCATCACTTGTCTCGCTCATCTGCAGGTTGCTCCTTTTCGGTGATTAACTGAAATTTTTATATTCTTAGTTTCCAGCCTTGTAATGTGGCCTCCTAGGTCGAAAATATTACTCGGGAAGAATTATGACTTCTGTTAGTACAGTCCTAGCATTTTTAAGGGTGTATAACTAAGGTGAAGTAGTGGATCCGATGTTCTATGTCGCAATCAAGCTCGGGTACCAATGTTTTAGGTGGACCGCTTTGTGCAGGATTGTTTTGCAACCGAGGATATGGTACGCCAGCTGCTGAAGAACGTTGCCACTTTACTGAAGCCAGGTGGCTACTTTTTCGGAGCCACTCCCGATTCCTCCACCATCTGGTTTGTGATCTTCCCCTAATGCCATTCAATACAGCAAATGCTTATTGTTTCTAGAGTTTTTGTTGCTGAAATTCAATTATTAAACTGGTGGCATCAGGGATGAGAGGGCCGAGTCCACTCTACTTCTCTCTTTTATTCACTTTTATTTATGTATTTATTTATTTTCCTTCCCTTCAACTGATTTTTTTGGAATGACATTTGGTGTGACCATTGTAGGTACAAGTACCAGAAAGCAGTTGAAGGGGCAATGAAAGCGGGATCATTGAGAGCCAACGGGCATCTCCCTCGCGTGAGAACAGATTTGTATAGTATCAGCTTCGAGGATGACCGGTACTTTCGTCTTCCTGTGTGTTGAGCCTAGTCGTTACTTGATTGAAATCTTACACTGCAGGGAAGAATTGGTGAGTGATTATTCCCTTCTGTGTGTAGGGAATGGATCCTGTTGCGTGTATTTTCCTGAAAACAGCACCATGTCTATTCAAGAGCTTGTCAGCACCTCGTGTCTCTTTACTCCCTAGTTTTTATTCAAGATTTTTGGAGGTAGACCCTTATGCCTATCTTAGGCTGGCTTCCTGCTAGAATAGAGGGGGTGCCATCATCCTCTGAGGTGTAGCATGAATGCACTCTAGAATTAGGTCCAGCAGGTTCGATTGGTACAGGGTAAATGTGTACGAATGTGAACAGAAAACTGATACCCTCATTTCGTGTGTAGGTTCAACCAATATGGATCTAGGTATCAACTCCGCTTTACAGATGATACCGTCCCACCCCAATCGCAGATCTTGGTGCACTTCCCGAGCTTGATCAGGTGTGTCTCAATTGCAACTCTTTGATGTACTGGTTGCGTAATCCTGAGTTTTTTTAGTGCTTCATACTCTACATGAATAGTTTCATACGTTGCATTATGGATTTGCTTTGTACGATGTAAGCTAGAGTTGCTGCAGGATTTGATTTGATTATGTCTCGACTGTCTCAGACATGCGGAAGAATTTGGACTTGAATACGTGGAGATCCAGAACCTGACTGAATTTTATGAAGACTACCGGTGGGTTTTAGTTCTCTGAAAACAGACCGTACGGCTGTAATGCAAATACAGTTGAATGTCGATGTTAGATGAGGGCTGTGAGAGACGGCCCCTTTTCCAAACATGTACATCACATTTTACGCAGAGTATAAATTTGAGATTTTGACTGAGCGTCGAGGAGCCTGACTGACAGATTGATTTTGTGGGTTGGTTGCCATATGATTCTCGCAGTGTTTCATTTGCAGAGACCCTTCAGAACAGCTGTGGCACCCTGGTCGACTCTAAAGGAAATCTAGTTGTGGATGGGAAGTCTCGCCTATCTCCGATGGCCCAAGATGTTTTAAGTGCGTCTTTTTCAACACTTATCTTTTGCTTCAGTAGTCTCCCTATTTGGACCTCCGTTGCAGCTATTCTCTTCAATGTATTTCTAGGATTGGCTTTTTATTCATGTCTGCCTTATGATGGCTGCTGCAGAATGGTCACCAGTATGACCATCATTAGACTCAGGAGCTTTCCGAAACATATGTGCGTGAGATTTGTGCAGAAGTACAAGAGTTAATTATAGGCAGCCCATATTCTTTTGCAGGTTTGTACACAACTTTCATCTTCAAAAAACCCGACCCTCAACAACGCGTACGAGTTCTGAAGCGACCTGCTCCGCATGTGCCTACACTTGCACCTACTCCTGCATCGGCCGATGTTAAGAAGATCAAAAAATTTAGCCCCGCTCCTCCTGGTCAAGTTGCTGTACAGGATGAGACGCCTTTCAAAAAGCGTTCCTTTTTGGCTCCCGTACCATCAAATACTTCAAATGGTTCGAAAGTACAAGAGTCAATTCCGAAACAGGATATAAGTTCCAGCAGTGCTAGCAGATCGAAATCTGAAGTTCCCCTTAAGAACGAATCTGATCGCTCCAGTGGAAAGTGCTTGAAACCCTCAGATGGAGAACTGAAACCTGGTAGTTTACAGGTTAATGTGAGCCAGTTGAAGTCAGTGGAGAGGCTCTCTAAACTTGACATTCCAATCGCAGAATCTGGAGATCAGCTTAAATCTGATGAAAAGGTACAAAAAATGCAGAGTCCAAGCACAGGCAAGCTTAGTGTATCAGGAAGCCAGAAGACTGACAGTCCAAGCGCATGTAAACCAAAAGCACCAGGAGGTCAGAGAAATGATAGTCCGAACTTGAAGGCTGAGGCCTTCCAGCCCAATAAAAACATCACTCATGGAATCTCCGAGTCAGAATTAGACAGACCTAGCTCCAGTGGATTGCGCCCTGAAAGCCATCTTAAAACTGAATCTGTAGAACGAGAGAAGCGTGACTCCGAGAAACGGGGAAATGATGGTGAGCAAAGCCAGGAACCAGCAAAGCGGAAACGGATATCGAGATGGTCCAGTGAATATGTTCCGAAGCTTAATACTTCAACTGAAGAACAAAACACTGAGAGGAAAGTTACGATACAGCAGCCTGGTCAGGGCTCGTCATCTAGTCTCTCAGCAGAACACCAGCTTGAGGGAGGCCAAACTCATCCAACTGTGGACTCCCTCGCCAAAATTGAAGGAGATGCGTTTCCAAAGCCAGCAATTTCTGCTCACGAAGCACATGTCGCTAGTGGTGCATCGCAGGTTGGAGAATATCATTGCTCGGAGAACGCTACAAGTAATGCGAGTGATAGCAGCTCTCAGCATGATGATAAATACAACCACAATGATCCAAATATACCTTTGAAATTTCATTATCAGAGGAGTTCAATTGGAAGTAAAGAGCACAGGAACGAGAGAGGTTCAACTCAGAAAAAGAATCATGAAAATGGTACTACTGAATCAACGCCAGCTGGACGTGTAGTAGAGCAAATCGAAGAAGGTGAAGTTACGGAGCTTACTGTTCGTAAGACCTCAAGTCCAATGAAGGATAGACCTATGGCAACTACGCTGCATTATGAAAGGCGCTCTGCACAGAGGGCCGAGCGTTCTGGAACTGTATCAGGCTCTTCCTACAGACGGGAAGCAGTAGCCTCTGACTCACAATCAGCGAAACATTCATCACGCAACATGGAAAGTATTAGAGCTGTAATCCAGGTTGAGGAAGATACTCATAATAATGACAGCAAAGTTGGGCCTGCAATGCAGAGTAATCATACAGTCAGCGAATTTAAGTCCGATAAAGCTTCTGCTAGCGGAAGTGAAGGTTTGGCGAATGATGCTCAACCCCAGGAGAGTTCAAAACAAGAGATTTCGTCCGCCATAATTGAGCCTGGGGTCAAGACTAATGACCAGGAGAAGCGTGAATTTATGGACCCTCGCTTGGATAAAGCCACAAATGATCAGAAGAAAATAGCTGATTCTATTTCAACTCAGGAAAGTGTACGTACAGTTTCAGAAGTTAAGAAAGGTAGTCTGAACCCAAAACCTCGAAAGAAAGAGATTGCTTTGGACTTGTTGCTGGATAGAACTACGAATCTGACCAGCATCAGTACAGCTTCTTGTGCTGCACAAGTTGTGGAAAGCACAGGCAACGAGCTCTCTTCTGAAAAGAGTTCAAAGAAGAACAGAGAGGGTGCATCCATCGAGCCTGAGCCTGGGAGAGGATTAGTTCAGAACAAAGACTCTGCAGTTGCCAATGTGGATTTTGAGAAGGGCTCCAAGTCGAGCAGAGTCAGTCCTGCTGGGGAGTACCAGCCTGAGTCAGGATGCACTCAGAAGAGAGACACTGGTACGTCTGCAGAACCCTCAACTTCTGACCTAGGCAGGGATCACACTAGAGATAGCGTGGAAACTGACTGCCAGGCGCCGAGAGGTCAGGGTTTCAAAAGAGAGAATTCAGACCCAATCTGGGAGACCAAGTCCCAACGCTTCGCTCTGCCGAGACGTGCAGCGTCTCAAATGAGTGAAGGAGCTGCTGAAAACCCACCGCTATGGAGCAGGGGAAACTTCGGTTTGAAAATTGATAGAGATCCACAGGGAAGAGGGCAGCATGTGTACCCCCCCCGAAATCCTTATGCAAATTCCAGCACAGGATTTGGTGCTGCTTCTAGACCTCCTCCTCTTCGAGCAGCAGTGGAGAGAAGGGTAGTTGGACCTCCATTACAGGGTGGTGCAGGATTACTTGGAGCCGCTCCGTCACCAGGCTTTGTAGACAGAGGATTACCAGCAGATAGGAGATTTGACATGATGGGCCCTCCTGAATGTGGCCGGAGTTATAGCGATCTTCGAGGATCTCGCCCCATTCGAGGATCTGTGTACAAGGACAGGGTTTCTGGAGTCCCGAGAGGACAACCAGACTTCGCAGGTGAGGGCAACAATGGCCTGGGAGCTTCATGGGATGACCATTTTCAAGGTGATGGGCGATCAAGGAACAGATGATCTGAACCTTTTTTCGCTCTATTTGATAGACACGTTTTAGGTTTCGATGTTTCGGAGTTCGTAGAAAGCTCTTGCGCCTACTAACTCCGAAGCATCTCTGCGCTTCACAAGGAACACCTCACGCCTTTGTTGTGATGGGCGACCTTGGATTCTCGAAGGTTTGATTTTAATGTCCAAGTGGACAGCTTATTAAAGAGACCGGAACATTTCTGGTTTTTCAAAGGTTGAGATTATGGGCTTTGAGCTCCACGTGCAGCCATCATACGAGACAAAATCGATTTATTCACTTGTATAGAGTTATGCATCCTACCACTTTGGTGCCTCTTGGCAAACTGTACTGCGTTTTTGCACGTTTGGATGCACCGTAGTAATGGTTAGGATTCTAAGCTGGTCGTCTTTTGGGAAAAGATTCGCTGTCACTTCAAATTGCTTTCATTGTGTAAAGTTCGACTTCTACAATATCCTGCTGAGTTGAGATGTGAAGTCTCGCGTGCTTGATGTATTAAATATTACATAACAGACTTGGAGAATGTATTGAGTGGATGAGTGCAGCGCAATAAGTTTCAATCCTCACTTACAAATTCTGTGCCATGTACCTGAAATATGGTGACTGCACTAGCCATGCTACATTCTCCACCTGCACAGAGAAGCTCACACGGTACACAACTTTACACATTAATATCATCGCCTGTAGGCCCAGATCAAGCTTTCGATACTGCTGTTGACAACAAGCTTTCGCTGTAAGATTGACATCTAAAGCCGAGAAACTTAAAACTTGAGTTCAGTGGAAGTAGCTAACCAAGAGTGAGGAGAAACCCTATGCCGTCGACTGGCACCAAATTTAGGCAGTAAAGTTGCGTCTTCAGGAAAGAGCGAAAGTAGTAAATGCAGAGTTTGAAAGGAGTAATAGTTTCCCAGCATTGTGACGCAGACATTCATAGAAAGTGACAAGTCTGGAAAGAAGGGAGCAGCGAGAGAGAATGCTTTCACGTCTGAGTGTATGAGCGAGAGTTTCTCGTTGGACGATGCGATTGAATGTGCAAGTTCGTGACAAAACTTCTCCGTAAGTAGAAACAGGAGCGCGATCGTCATCGCCACTGGTGCTGAGCTGATGCCCGTGTGATTGAATGTGAGCAGCGCTTCCATGAGATTTTTCGAAGAATTTGGGTTAAGGGAGTTTAAGTGACGAGTTGGGGGAGGGAGGAGGGAGTAGAATGTGTGCAGGTGTATCGGGTCATGAAGAAAGAAGCAGGTGAGTGGAATTTTCAGGGAGAGCGGTAATGGTAAGAGGATTTTCGCCTGGTCTTTAAGGATGAGTAGTGCAGGAAAGAGCAATTTGGAGTGTCTGTGAGAGTGGATACTGACTTTGTTTCTGGATTCTGGGTTCTGAGAGGTGGTTGCAGCAATTTGTATTCGGGAAGTGTGGAGTTGGATTGCGGAAGGTATCCATCATTGGTTGGGGAATCAGGTACTGTTTGTGGAAAAGGTTGTTGGGTGGCTGAAATCGGAGCTGCGGAAGTATTGCACAGTTTTGAGGATTGCACGGTTGATCATCTCCTTCAGCTCGCTAGTAAGGACTTCTGTATCTTTTTCTAGGCCCTGAGTATTAGTGCGGTCAATGACATTTTCCTCAGCGTTTCCTTGATTTTCATTCGCTTTAAATTGGTCGAGGCGATCAATGCTAGGACAAACTCACAACCAAGAAAGATGGTTTTCTAATGCGCACATGTTTGAAGAAATCGGGAATCAGACGACATGGACTCTTAAGTGGCTTATTGCTTAAGCGAGGAAATCACAGGTGAGTGATGAAAAGCGTTCGTAGAAACACCCTATTGCAGAGCGTATAGCTCAAGTTTTCAATATCTGCTATTGTGCATTTTGCAAATTCTCGAGAATAGGAGTTTCTGTTGCCTAGCTACAAGTTTAAAGCTCTTCTGTTAGGGACGAAAGTGCGTAGCTGATCTGGTTCCTTTGCATTGGGTTTTGTAGCGAACAAGTTATGAAAAGTATATGATGTCAAGTTTTAAAGTAATCCAGTATATGATTTTCTCATGTTTATGGAAGCGTACCAAAACCTTCTCAGGTTGTCTTCCTGATAGAGAGACAGTTCGTCATGATCTTGTATCATTTCTTAGGTTGTTTAGAGGAATGGTTTAGTCCATAAGTCTGAAATAGCATCCTTTTCAACCTTAGCAAATGTTTTACCACGTGATTTTCTTCTATTTTTATGCAAGCAGTGAGACATGAACTCTGGTTGAAATTCATCACTCATTGGGACGGATTGTGGTAGCGAATGAGCTCCTAGAGGACGAGGCAATGTTTAACATGCTTCCGGTAATACTAGAACTCCGCTGCGTTTACTGTATCAACTTCTTAATCGTAAGTAAATTAATGAGAAACAGTGTATGTGGACCGGATCATGCACTGTTTTGCGCCACTGTAACGTGTGACCTCATCTTTCAGGTTATTGGGGTTTGATTGAGAGTCGTTCACGCAGAATATTGCAAATGGAGGAGGAGTTTTGGGGATTGTCCGGATTAAGCTCCAGGATATCTTGCCAGAAGATGGTGCAGCCTCTGCAGCGTACACTCGTGCGGTGGAGAAGTTATCACTTTCCTTAGCTCGAAACAATGCAGCAATAATTCAACTGAGTTCGGAAGATGCAGCACTTGTACGCTGTGGTCTTGAATCTGCAAAACTTTACTTTCGAAGCAGGTGTCGTAACGCGTCTTTATGGAACTCGTCGGTTTGGCTCAAACTCTCGGGATACTTGGCTGCTCCTGCAAGGGACATGTACTTCTATCGGGCAGGGAGGTATTGCCTGTCCCTTGTGTTTGGAGGAAAATACTCTCTGCTTTCATTTATGCTTTTTGCAAGGCTCATGTTTCCATGACAACAGATGTCGATAATACAGCATAGTAAGATTGTACTGATTGCCTGATGAGCATGACCAGTTACCATTGAATGAAATCTTCAACGCTAAAAGTCCATGATATGCTCTCTGCTGTGTGCAAGAATGCCGCTAAAAACTATGGATGAAACTCCATTGAGAAGGCAACATGGGATCAGTTCACAAATTACTCATGTAGGGCAACAATGATAGCTAGTGGATGTTGGATTTATGGGTTTGGTCTCATCCGAAATTTGATTGAGTTGCAGAACTTTAGAAGGCGAAGAGACAGAGCCACCACCTCCGTGTATTCCCGAGGTTTTCAAATGTTTAGGGAAAGCCTCTCGTGCTTCTTTGAGTGGAATTGCCCGTCATCTTCGACTTCCTGGAGAGTAAGTGATATTTTGTAATGACCTTGCATATCCACATAGTTACGGTAACAGCTGTAGCGCATCGTAGGTCTGAGAAAGTTACAGCGACCCCGATGTTATTAAGCAATCGTTGATAGTAATTGATGAAGTAAATATTGTTTAAATCCTAAGAAAATGTAATACATTACATATTAGTGCCACGGTGTTATAAATACTTTTCTATTATTACTTGCAGAACAATATACCCAAATGTTTTTACAAAATTTTATTAATAAATAAATATATATATATATATATATATATATATTTATATACATTACAAACACATTTTTATGCTCATAATAAAAAATATAACATGATAGAATATGATATAAAATAAAAATAATCATAATAATAAGAAATTAAAGTTTTGAACTTCATACAAGTTATGTTTATTTTTAGTTTTTGCTACTGCCACTACAATTTGCCATATACCACATACAATCACAATTTTTGCTAATATTACCATATATTGTCCTAAATTTGTATTGCACACCACAATGAATTTTGTAGAATACTAAAATACATATCCATAAAAAAAGAGCATTTTATTCATTTTGGTTTGTAATGCAAGTTCAATGGAGCTTGTAGTGATATTAACAAAAACTATAATGGGATATGGTGGATGACAAGTTGTAGTGGCAAAAGCAAAAATTATAGCAACATTAGCAATACCATATGTATGTATATGTATATATATATATATTTTTTTTTTGTTAATGTACGAGCAGCCATTAAAAAAGATTACAACAATCATTCCATTCATTTATTTCAAATTGATATTAATTAGTGTATTATTCAGCCACTATACCTTTTGACTTTTTTCAATGAATTTAAATGAGTCGTAAAAATGCAAAATTGGTAGAAATATATGTATGTATATATATATATATATATATCACTTAAAGAATTGCAGTGATATCACATCATTTAAAATGCTTCTTAACCAAAATATCATATATAAAAAGAATAATACCTACAATAACATTAAAAAAAAAAAAAAAAAAAAAAAAAAATCACCAAAAAATAAACATATAAAAAAATTAAAATTAAAATTGAATTAAAACAAAATTGAATTGTCAAGCTTATATCCAAAATTGATGCCTAGAATAATTATATTGTTTTGCTATAGAATAATTTCTCTTTGAATGTTATGTGAAGCATGTTAATTCCTAAAGTTTATTGGGTTATCTTGCCTCCCAAACTCCAAAACTATCAAAAAATATCCATTTCAAGAAAATGACTTCTAAATCTTTTCTTTTGAGTATTTTCAATGGTTTCAACCATAAGATATTGTTCCTAACATATATTAGAGTCAGGCTATAAAATCATGGGTGTTAAGATCATTGCATGTGACAAATCATAATATTTGAAGATGAGAGAAAAGGATTTTTTGGTGTGCCCAAAAAGATGAGACTTATGCTAGGCACAATTCCTACTTGTGACTCCAATCTTTTTGGAGGAAGTGTTTTTCAATGATACCCTCAAGTTGAGCACATACATTCAAAATCTTAGAACAAGAAGATGTATATGGCATCTTCAACCAAATTGTTCTTAAGAAGTAGGTAGTTGAAAACATAGGAACAAAGAAATTATTTCAAAAAATCATATGATTTTCAAAATGAAAAAATCTTCACAAAATAGATGGTGGATAAAAGCACTTCTATATTCTTTAGAAGGGAATATATATATGTGTATATATATATATATATATATATCAAAAATTGAATTGATATGGATTATAGAAAGTCATACATGACCATTAGCTCTAAAATGTACTAGACAACTTTGTGATGTAGGGTCTCCCTTGCCAATATGGGTCCATTGTTTTGCAATATTGTTGTCATGCAATACCCAAAATTCCTCATAATTGTAGCTATCATGTGTTTTGCACATACCCTAATCCATAGTGCTCCAATTAAAGTCCAAATCTAAGAAACGTCACAACTAATTCCAAAAACTTCACAAGATTTTCTATTCTAAACAAACAAAATAAAAAATAAAAGAATAAATAAATTATACTTCATGTTGAATGCCCAAAACAGCCAAAAACATATTTGGCTTTTAAGGAGCTTGATGGATTAATGCTGCATTCGTAAGAAAACAAGTGTCTATTACATCCGTTCACAAAAACTTTAATATATTCTTGAACAGTACCGACATGACTAAACTCTCCATTTTGTTGTATGAATGTGGACGCTTTTATGTCTAAGTAAATCTACTGTACCTAAAAAACCTAAAACTGATGTGTTGTGTTGGAGACTTACTGTTTTCCTTACAAGAATCTTGATTCAAAAAATGAAAGAAATGTATGTATATATACATATATAAACATAGAATAAAGTTTAAGTGATAAAAACGCAATTTGAAGTCTTCTAAACCAAACCAGTTGAAGGTAATCTTAATTGGGTACCATAGCATGTTCCCACACGCAGCCATTATAAAACTCCATCAACAACTCAACCAGTTATACTTCTGAAAATTTTTCCATTTATCAAAATAATCAAGCTTTCATCACTTCCAAATGCAAAGAGTTCGAAGTTAATGCCCTATCTCACTGTGATCCTAAATCTATTTATTACTTCTATGCTTTCAAATGGTCTCAACTATGCTGTATACTCCTGATACAGAAGGCATCGATGGAAATAGCAGCACCACAGTGTAAATAAGTCCACACTAACCCAATCGCCTTTCAAAGATAGATAGATGGGTTCATACTCTGCATTATACCGAATGCTAGATATGCCAACGGAACTCTCAACGCAGCGGTTGCGTTTTTAGCACTGTTGATCGTAAAGACTCATGTGGGGTTTTGCAGCAACGGCGACTGAAAACATAGCAAGATACAGTGAGAGAAGAACACCGGATTGTAAAGAAGAGACATCAACTGAGTGAAAAATATATTGATTTAATCTGCAATGGCCTTCAGGTCGAACATAAGTGCAACTCTTGAATCTCGGCTCCCCTCCGAGGCGGACATCGCGTCTTATGTAAATAATTCGAGCGCCTACAAGCACTTTACCGAATGAATCGCTGCGCGCCAGAACGCGAGTGCTTACAAGAATAATCCCTCCGCCTAAGCCTATGACATGCAAAGCTGTGTTCTGAAACACAGACATGCGGTCAATTCCCTACACTTCGATGATTCGAATCTGCATTTCCCACTGTCTACATTCATACGACTACATCAAGCTCTTGTAAAAAATAGGCTGAGAATGAGCGCGACTCCGAGGAACGCAATTGAGAACAACCGCGATGGATGCAAGTGCACTGCAGAGCTAGATGGAGGGCTGGTTAGAGGACCTCCGGCAGGGCCTGGGCCGAAAGCTGGATTGTCTGAACCAGTGCGAGGGAGTCCATCGCCCACGGGGGCTGGCGACACAGATCCCGCAGGAGTAGAAGAGTATGGAGGCGGGGCATTAGTAGAAGGAGCGGGGATTGAAGCCGGTGGGGAATCCACCATCGGAGGCGGCGATCCAGCAGAGGATGATGTGCCTGCCAACTTGAAGCATCCGATGTAGCAGTAAGCTTCATTGGTAGTGGCGTCGATCAAACGCTTCAACGTGTAATACCGATACGCTTCCATAGTTGAGGGGGGGTTCACAGTCGAATTCGTCAATGCCTTGCGAAGAACAGTCAGGCACGCAGCTCCAGTGTTAGCGGGGAAGTTTTCGTTTGCCCACCCATACCAGGAGCAGTCGATCGGAGACGAAATAGTGTTATCATATATAACGGGCTCTGGGCCGTATTCCGTCGTAGGTGCATCGGGGAAGTGCGCAGGGCGCGGGCGTCCATCAATAGATCCAACTACACCTGATACAAAGTAAACAACCAGTAAAATGGTCAGAATTGCTGCATTGGAAGTGGCCATCTTGGTCGATTGCCTGATTCTGCTACTGCTGCTGTTGCTGCTTCTCGACACCTGTGGAGCGATAGAGTCGTGGTCGTGCGAAACTCCCACCAGTAACCTTGAGCGTTTCGATTCAAGAGGGGAGATAGATTCCTGCAACACCGGCGCTGCTCCAACGGGGGACTGATACAACGACCCTGTTCCTGCGAGCGAGCTAACCTGGCGAAACTCCTGGGCACCCAACTCGTCAACCGAATGCTGAGGTCTACAGCGGACGCGGCCGCGTTAAGAGCACCTCGCGCAGATCGACTTCGCGGTAAGCAAAAGCGCAGGGCAGGTGGTCCAGTCTGTTCGCAACGTCGGGCTTTACCAACTCCGCGCAGTTGGATGTAACTCCGGCGCCATGTCTGTGGAGTCATGTGCGTGCGACCCGGCTTTAAGGGATTCTAGCTTGAGCGCTAACTTTGGCGAATCGGCGCTCTCGAGAGCGAGAGCAAATCACCGGCGCCCGTTAATGGAATGCGGTGACAGAAGTCCGGGCCATGACGACGCCGAACAAACTAGACATCGCGTGAACGTCGCACTATTTGCGTTGCGTTTGCTGTGCTATGCTGTGCTAGGGTTCCACAGATCCCACCTCACCTGCATCGCACCTCCCCTTTATAACCGACTCCTCCACGTCTCAATTGTAATCACTGTGCCATCGAATTCCCGCATTTCTGCATCTACCTCCGATTCCTTCGCCTCGCTTCTCATCATCCTAGTTGGGCCTGCTACTGCTTGCTTCTGATTCTGCATGTTTCCATATCTGTTTGTTTCTGTTTATGTGTTTAAGGGTTTTTTTTTTGTGATTTTTTTTATATGTACATTCTGTTTTTCGGTGATTGGCACTTCCTACCTTTCGGTTGCTCCTGCCTTAGATGAGTCCCTCCCTCCAACACTCATTTGTTCAGGTTTGCCGTTCTTATTCTGCCTTATTATAGCCCCACCCCCCCCCCATTTTCGCTACATGTGGTTCTTTTTTCTTCAACATTGTATGATTTTTTTTTTTAGTTTGGTGCTTCTAAAAAAAGAAAAAAATCATTTTTGTGAAACCTTGCAATCATGCCTTCGAAGTTTTTATTTTAAGGGTCAAATGATGTACGATGAATCAATTTGCAGTTCTTTAACATATAACAGTTCGAACCTATTTTTTAATAATGGTTCAAAATTTTGGCCTATGGTTAATAATGTACGTACTATCTGTTGAGAGAGGTTTATCATATTAGAGAATGTATTGCATTATGGTTTATTTTAATTGAAAAATGTTCACTTTATTGATAA